CCTCCCCCGCTCATGCTCTGTCTCTCTCTCTCATAAATAAATAAACATTTAAAAAATTTTAATATAGTATAAAAACCATACAATAATATATTTCCATTTCTCCCCTCCTGGGCTTTATGCTATTGCTACATGGATTTTATTTCACACATGTGATAAACCCAAAATGATGTTATTATGTTTGTTTAAATAGCAAAATAACTATTAAAGATATTCCAATAATAAGAAAAGATCTTACATATTTACATGTTGTTAGTATTTCCACTGCTCTCTATCCCTTTGTGTGAATCCAGTCTTCTATCTGGAATCATCTTCTAGACATTTTTTCTCAGGCTGATCTTCTCATGGTGTATTCCTTCAGCTTTTATAAATCTGAAAATGACTGTTTCTCTTGGTTTTGAAAGATTTTTCTGCTAAGTATTAGCTTATAGATTGAACGATTTTTTTCTCTCAATACTTTTAAGAATGTTTCTCCATTGTCTTCTTGTTTTTATTGTTTCTGACAAGAAATTTATGTCATTCTTATCACTTTATTTTTTTGTATTTAACATATCCTTTCTCTCTCCTTTTAATATTTTTTTTTATCACTGATCTTATGCAATTTGCTTATGATATGCTTTGGTGTCATCTTTGGATTTCTTTCATTTGGCCTTAATTGATCTTCTTGGATCTATGAGTTTATAGTTTTTATCAAGTTTGATAAAATTTCAGCCATTATTTATTCAAAATTTTTTCTGACCCTCCCTTCTTTTGGGATTCCAATCGCACATATTTTGGGCCACTTGACTACTCACTGATGTTTAGCTTTTTTTCATTCTTTTTCTTTTATGAGATTTTGATTGTTTTTATTCCTAAGTCTTGAAGCTCACTAATATTTCCTTCTGCAATAGACAATCTGCCATTAATCCCATCCACACAATGTATTTTTATTTCACTCACTGTAGTTTTGCATTGCTGGAAACTTAATGGTTTTTTTTCTGTTTTCCATTTCTTTACTTAACTTTTGCACATATGGAATTAAGTTACAATGACTTTTAATATCTTTTTCTGCTCATTCCAACATATGTGTCAGTTCTAGGTCAGTTTCAATTGATTTTTTTTCCTTCTTCTGTATTATATTTTCCTAATTCTTCTCATACCTGGTAATCTTAAGTTGGGTGACAGACATTGTAATTTGACCTTCTAGGGTGCTGGAGATTTTTATATACCTATAAATATCATTGAGCTTTGTTCTAGGACACAATTACTTGGAAACCACTTAATCTTTTGAGTCTTGCTTCTAAGATTTGTTAATTGGACTCAAAAACTGTGTTTAATCTAGGACTGATTATTCCCCACATTGGGGCAAAAAACCTTTGAGTACTCTAGGCAATTGCCCTATAAATTATGAAATTTCCTAAGTTAGCTGATCAGGACAGACATTTTTCCCAGCCCTTTCTGGTACTGTTTCTTCTTATCCTTTTTGGTAAATCTTTTCTTGGCCTCAGGTAGTTTCTTCAGTTGTAGAGGCTGATGAGTTCTCTGCTGAAGATTTGAGGAGCACCTTCTCTAGATCTCAAGATTCTTTCATTGTACAGCTCTCTCCTCTCCGTATTCAGTCCTACCAACTAGCTGCCTTACTCACATTGGACTCCTAGCTGAGTCTTCTAAACTCTGAGAGTCTGCCAGGCTCTGTGTGAGTCTTTCTTCCCTGTACTGTGGGCTGGAAACTTTCTCAAGCTAGTAAGCTGAACCAATCATAGGGCTCGCCTTTCTTTTCTTCCTTAGGGAGAACTGTCCATTGTCTGATGTCCAGAGTCTTGAAAACTGTTGTTTCACATATTTGATCTGTTTGCTGTTGTTGTTTTAGGTGGGAATGTAAAGTTGGTCTCTACTGCTCAATCTAGCAGAGGTCTCTAATGTACTTTTTACAAAACTTTATTATGGAAAAGTTCAAACTTACACCAAAATAGGCAGGATGACCCTATTAAATAGGCAGGTTTTAGAAAATGATCACCTCATGGCCAATCTCATTTTATCTGTATCCCCACTCATTTCCCTGCCTCTTGTATTATTTTAAAACAAATCCCAGAGATCATGTAAGCTTATGTTAGTATTTCAGGATGAGTTTCAGCAGTTAGTGCCCTGTCCAGATTCCTCCTGTCTTTTCACTTTAGTGTGCCTGAGCTGACTCTAGCATCTCTTTGCTTAAAGGCTTTCCTCAAAAGTGGGGAAAACTACTGTGCCCTGCTCATAGCAGCCTGGGTCTGCAGTGTCTTTCGTGTCCTCCCAGGGACAGACCCTAACCAAAGACTAATGGGTGTGAATATATAAATATCTCAGCTCCTTCATCCCTTGTGTGAGGTGATTCTGAGGCATGTACTTCTCATCTTTCTCCTAAGTTTCTCATTGGGACTGTGTTCCCTTTGCCCACGGGAGTAGCTGATGTGATAATGCCCCCTTTATTAACTATATCCCCTCTCTGTCACATTTGCTCACTCCCTGTAATAGTTTTCCAGGGCTGCCATAACAAAATACCACAGACTGGGCAACTTAACATAATGTATTTTCTCATGATTCTAGAAGCTAGAAGTCCTACATCAAGGTGTCAGAGTTCAAGGTGTCAGCAGGGTTAGTTTCTCCTGAGTCTCTCTTCTGGGCTTATGGATGGGTGTCTTTTCCCTCTGTCTTCATATGGTCTCATGGGGTGTGTGTGTGTGTGTGTGTGTGTGTGTCCTAATCTCCTCTTCTTATAAGGATACCAGTCAGACTAGAGTAGGGCCCACCTATACAACCTCAATCTTACCTTAATTACCTCTTTAAAGGCCCTATCTCCAAAGACAGTTACATTCTGAGGCATTGGGGTTAAGATATTAGCATATGAAATTTGGGTGAAAAATTAAGCCCATAACACACCCCTGCCGGTGTTTCCCGCACCTCTCAAATAAACTACATCTACTTAAATTTTTATCTCGGGGTCTGCTTCTGGGCAAACTCAAATGAAGGAAATCTCTAAAAGGTAAGGACGCTTGAAAAAAATAATCAACTTACCCCTAAATACCCTTGATATCCACAGTTCAAGGCTTTACCCATTCTGCCTTGTATTATTGGCTTTTTACATGTGCACCTGTTTTTACATTTTTACAGCCTCACAGTAATGACAGGGACTATGCTGTACTGATCTTCTCCCTGTCCAGGTAGTGCCTTGGGTGTAGGAGATACCTATGCTGCTTGATTTGCTCAAATCAATGACAGTAGTTCTAATCTGCCTTGGAAACTAGGTTTTAATAGAATAGTCACAAAATCCTTTTTTTAATGTTTATATATATATATATATATATATATATTTTGTGTGTGTGAAAGAGAGACAGCGTGAGCAAGGGAGGGTCAGAGAGAGAGGGAGACAAAGAATCCGAAGCAGGCTCCAGGCTCTGAGCTAGCTGTCAGCACAGAGCCCAACGCGGGGCTCATACCCACGAACCGTGAGATCATGACCTGACCGGAAGTCGGACGTTTAATCATCTGAGCCACCCAGGCGCCCCAGAATAGTCATAAAATCTAAATGACAAATAAAAGTACTTGTTCTTTAATAATGTAAAATCTTTGCTAAATCGATTGCCAGCAATCTGTACAAATGTGCAATACCTAGCACGAAGGTACACAATATCTGTTGACTGAATTAAGGTTATAATGATTTAAATTAGAGGTATCTATAGCATCATCAATTGAAGTTGGAAGCGAAAAACTCTGGATCAAGATTTTTATGTAAAATAGCTTCAAAATTCTAGCGCCACCTACTGGTGAGGATTGGCTAGTGTTCTACGAACCTATTTCTTAGCGCACTTGAATTTAAAAAAAAAATTTAGAGTTTTTATTTATTTTTGAGACACAGAGAGACACAGCATGAGAGGGGGAGGGTCAGAGAGAGAGGGAGACACAAACTCTGAAACAGGCTCCAGGTTCTGAGCTGCCAGCACAGAACCCGACACTGGGCTTGAACCCACGAGATCATGACCTGAGCTGAAGTCAGACACTTAACTGACTGAGGCACCCAGGCGCCCCAATGCTCTTGAATTCTGATGGTTGTATAACAAGGGGTCTATAGGAAGCATTAGTAAACAATAAAAATTTGACACAATAAAAATATATGATATATAATCACAATATTCTTGTGAAAAGAAACTATCATAAATTCAATCTTCGCGTTTATAAATACACAAGACTCTCAACTCAAACCTCTCTGAACTAGACCCTCAATAATGATTGGCTGAACAAATGACTAGGGTGAACAAGGGTGACTGATAAGGCAAACAGAACCTCTCGACTGTAAATCAGTCCTATTTTACATTAGATCAGTATTAATCCATGATTGTATTGACATTATTTACATTTGATAATAAAGTAGTTGTCTTTGACAGCAAGCTTTCAGAGGTGAAAATGCTGGGCAAAGTACACAGTAAGACAAATGTAAGTCCTTTCAGCTTTAAGGAATCAGGCAGCTGTATTCGTCTGAAAATTACTAACTGTGCCACCATGTTACGCTTACAACACAATGCCTTGGGTTCCATTGATCCTGACTTTAAAGTATCTTCCAAACCACTTTCCATGAATGAAGTGAACAATTTGTTTCCCTTGAGCTGTGAGGACTGGCGTAGGGGCACGTGTAGAGGATACAAGAAACTGAGACATAAGGGGCAGAAAACTTTATCCCGAAACTCCATTCCATATTCTCCACTAAGCATCATACCACAGCCATTGTGAAGTCCGGGGCCTGACCTTTCGCCTCGGGCCGGTCCCGCCCCCAATATGGTCCCGCCCACACCCCGCCTATTCTCCCAGCCCTGCCTCCCCACTCCTGCCCGGCCCTGAGCCCCGCCCCCGCTCATACCTCCTCCCGGCCCCACCCCCACGGTAGCCCCGCCCCACCCAAGTCTTCTCCCGACCCCGCCTCCCGACTCCGGCCCGGCCCTGAAGCCCGCCTTTACGCTCTGACCCGCCCACCCCCTCCTTGCGGCGCTCTGGCTCCTTCTAGCTCCACGCTTGGGCGTGGGCCTGCGCACCGCTTTCCGGGTCCGAACCGCGCCTTCCCGCCCAAACCTAAACCCCTCCTTCACCTCTCAGTCGGAGCCACGCCACACGACCCGAGCCCGCCTCCGGCGGGCGGAGCTGCACCAGGTGCGGACCCGGGGCGTGGCGGGCGTCCAGGAGCGCCAGGTGCGGCTTCCGTGTCAAGATGGCCGCCGCCTGCCGCTTCGGAGTGCCCCTCTCGCCCGCCCGCCTTCCCGCGGGGACCCAGCTGCTTCCCGTCTTCCTGTGCCTCCTGTGCTGGGCCCCGGCGGCTGTGAGCGCCGTCCCCGAGCTCGGGCTCTGGGCAGCGACTGTCAGCGACGTAAGTGGAATGTCGAGACAGAGGCGTGGCGCGTCTTGGGCCCTCAGGGTCCTCGCTGGGCCTCGCTCTGACCCGCGTTCCCCGCCCCGGACTTGTTCATCTGCTCTTTGCCGGGCCTGCTCCGGGTCCCCGAAACGCTCCCTGAGCCTTCCGTTTGTTACGGGCGTGGAGAGTCCCCTCCTCCAGCCGGACTGGGCTCTGGGGAAGCTCAGTGAAGCCGGTGCATGGGGACGGCTCTCCCTTCTGAGCGCTGCTCCTGTGCCTGCCGATCGCCTTTCTCGAAGTCCTGGCCCCTGGCTATGTTCTGACGCGCCCTGCCTAGATCAGGTCCTCGTTTATTCAGACCCGAACCCCACAACCTTTGGCACTCCTGCCGGCATCTTTGCCGTATGACCCCACCTCGGGCCGGGTGCAGCCACAGGGCCACACCCGTGAGGCCACAAAAAGGACTTTCCCAAAGGTGTCACTCTCAGCACAAACTTAAAAAGTGTATGTGTGCCGCTTTCGTTTTCTTCTCTAAAACGAGAGAGCTACCCCATCCCTCTTTCTCTCTTCTGCGGTTCCTGAATTTCTCCAGGGCTCCTGTCACAGTTCCGGGAATGTGTGTATGGAGATGGGGTGGGATGTGTGATTAAGGAGGGTTTGAAAGGCTAGGCTGGAGGCAGGAGTGTGTGGAAACTTCCTTTCCAGGGCAGGAGATTTGAGAACTTGGCATCTGGTAGTTGCAGGAGATGATGTAGGAGCGATGCAGGAGTAGCATTTTGGAAAATCTTGCTAAAGAGGGGCAGGAAATCAGGCAGAGGCCTTATCTCCTGCTTTTCTAGAATCAGGTGACTCACCCAGCTCTGTTTTGAGATGAATTTTTTCCACATGCGCTGAAATGATGTCTAAGTTCTAAAAGCAAAACTTGTATTTTGATTTGCTCAACCGGAAACATTTAGTACCAGAGACTGCAAATACTCCCTACAGCATAGAAGTCCTGCAGGAAGGAAAGTTGGCCTCTTTTGAATTTTTAAGACCCCGTGCTACCATTTCTTCCAGGGTCCTTCATTATATGCCCCAGTGATGCAGTGTGTGCATCTCTATTACTGAATCTCTCTGGACGGTAAAAGTAAAACTCCAGGAGCTACACTCGTGATTTCTTGCTGCTGCTTTAATGAATGACAGTATCCTAGACTAAGAGTAAACAGTATTGGAAGTGAATGAGCTGTGCACAGATTGTTAAACTACTTGACCATATCTGTAAAGATCTTTACCACCTATATTTTGAACAGTGCAACTCCAGATGCGCTGCAGAAAGAATGACTTTGCTTCCTGAATGAGGAAGGTAATTTTTTTTGGCGGGGGGGGGGGGGTTCCCACATCAGGTCAGTAGCAGTCCATAAAGCCCTTTGCAGGGAGTAGGCTGATTTTTCCTCCCCATTTCAAGTTGTTGGGACTTGTCCTTGAGAACAAGAAAGGAGAGCAAGCCTTTCATTAATCTGTCCTGCAGATGTCTCAAGCAATGCTTCTTTTGATTGTAAAGGTCAACAAATAGTTTGAGCACCTTCACTGCACAGCGTATTAGACTGGCCATTGCTGTCGCAAAGATGAATTTTAGTCCCTTCTCTCAAGAATCTCACACAGTAGTAGGAACAGCAGATTCATGAGTAGTGATTACATACATGGCAGCATTCCTTGGATATTGCTGGAGCACTGAGGGGGTCACCTAACCCCTTTTTCTAGAGTTGGTGCCTCGCTGGGTCTTAAAAGATGAGTAGAGGTTACTTCAGTGAGGGAGGAGGAGGGAGTAGAGCAGCAGTGATGCAGAAAATTCTTCATCTTGCTGCTAAGTGAGGTTCTGGTAGGAGTGTTAGAGGGGACTCAGTCTACCATAAACCTCCCAGAGCTTGCTTGGCCCTGAGCCTGTGGCTAGGAGTTCAAACTCCAGGACCTGTAGGGTCTGAGGCCAGTGATGTTTAGGGCAGTGAGCTAGATTTAGGACAGGAGGGGGCCCTGGAGAGAGCGATGGATTATAGATTACGTGCTTCTTCTGAATAAGAGCAGCTACCATTCGGCCCCAGCTGGTGGATATTCTATGGCAGCGTAGGCACAGAATTGCCAGGTCTCCTTTTTTGAAAAGAGAAGCCAGAATCCATGTTTTTATCATGTCGACTACTTCAACACTTTTCTCAAAAGGGGTTCTGCTGGGTCACAGAAACCCCGTTTAAAGGTTGGATTAGGCCACCAGGAACAAATTTTGGGTGTGAATGAGGGAGAGCCATTGAAGGATTTTAGAGATAAGTACCAATCACTGCGGCTGCTAGCTCAGATCTGGTGGCAGAACTATCGGCTATTGCAGAGCTGTAGGGAGAAAATGCTGAGAGCCTGAATTGGAGCAATGGTGGCAGGGATGGAGAGGAAGAGCTACTTTGGGGAAGTGTTTGTGAGGTCAGGTAGGCGTGCCTTGGGGATTAGGCAATGGAGGTGAGGGACCGGAAGGACCTAAGGCTGAGGTGACCGAAGATGGCGTCACCTCCACCTGCAGCCAATACGGGCAGTGTAGGAAGAGCTGGTGGAGGAGCAGAGAGGAATGTGTCTGGTTTAGGACAGGTTAGTGTGGAAGGTCTGTTGGACATCCTTGTGGACATGACCTTGAGGCATTTGGGCAGGTGGATCTGGAGCTCAGAGGAGGGGTCCGGACTGGGGGATTTTGTTGTCGAAACTGTGTTGGGGTGGGAGCTTATCGACAGGTTGGCCTGTCATTTTCTTTCATTCCTAACCTCTTGTTCATTGAACACAATCCCTTCGCACAGCATTTTTATTCTTGGTGAGGGCAGACATTAAATAACTAAGTGATAGATTATTTCGTTTTAATTGTGGCAAGGGTTGTGAAGGATGGGTCCTAGAGACCGTGGAAGGGAAGGCCTGGCCTGGTGTGGAGCCTCATGGAAGACGTCCTGAGGAGGGGACTCTTGAACTGGGCTGAGAAGGGTAAGAAGTCATTAACAAGATGAAGAAAGAGTGACGGGGAAGGGTTTTTTCAGTCAGTTTTCAGATTGACTACTAAGTTCCTGAGGGGAAAAAGGCGTAGTATCCTGCTTTTGAAGCCCTGAGAGAAAGGTGCGAAAGACGGGTAGGCAGGCCTTTGATTATGCAGGGACCTGTAAGTGGCAGTAAGAGTTGGTCTGTTTTAAGTACACAGTTAGGGAGAGGGATGGTTACATTCATATAAGTACCTTCATATGAGTATCCCGAGAGCAGCTGCAGAGGCACAGGTAGGACCCCTGCCTGAGGAGCAGCAATGGTGCAGGGCTGGCCCCCCACTGAGATGCTAGAGGCAGGGCCATTCCCCAGCCTAGTAGAGAGTAGATATACGGGACAAGATTTTAAGCAAGTGGGTGATATGACCAGATTTTAAAACTTTTTTTAATTACTTAAAAATTATTTTTAAAAATAATTCATGTTGGTCACAGGAGTGCAAGGGTTAGAACTGTATATTTTCCAGGGTAAAACTATATTCCTAAATAGAGAAAAAACTTTTAACTAGATCATTCTTTATTTCCTTGTTTTTCATTTTAGAAATCAGGACCTCTGATATTTAGAAAAACTATGTTTAACTCTACAGAAATCAGGTTTTCTGGTAAGTACAATAAACTAATAATACTAACATAACTATATTATAAATGAATAAGGTCATGTAATGTAATAGAAACTGATATGTTACTCGAACTAATATATATTTTAAACTAGGCTAAATAATTTGTTTTTAAGTGGTTGTAAGATTTTCAGGGTTTCTTTTGTTTCCGTGAAGGCTTGGTTATTTTTAGGAATGGATTTTTCTGATCCTGTCTCAAAAAATGTAATATGAATAATTCTTTAAGAATTATAATTAATGTTGGGGCGCCCGGGTGGCTTAGTCGGTTAAGCGTCCGACTTTCGCTTAGGTCATGATCTCGCGGTTCGAGGGTTCGAGCCCCGCGTCGGGCTCTGTGCTGACTGCCAGCTCAGAGCCTGGAGACTGTTTCAGAGCCTATGACTCCCTCTTTCTCTGACCCTCCCCTGCTCACGCTGTCTGTTTCTCTCTCCTAGAAAAAAATAAAAGATTAAAAAAAAAGAATTATAATTAAAGTGTAATAAAGTAGGCTTCTGTGAAATTTGACTCTGAATCCCAGCTTTTAAAACTAGATAAATTCGTTTTATGAGTATATGAAATGTTGTGATTGTGGTAAAGCCTTTATGTTCTTGAAACTTTTATAAATATACCCATTATCCTAAAATACAGTAAAAATTACTACACACTAACATTTTAATTAGTATTTTGAGCTTACAAAAGTGAACTTATTTGTTAGGGACTATTTTGTTTATGTAAATATTGATGTGTGAGAACTACCAGGTTATCATAGATCTTGAGGTTTATCAATATATTTTTTTATTTTTAAAGTTTTTTAGGGGCACCTGGGTGGTTCAGTCGGTGAAGTATCCAACTTCAGCTCAGGTCATGATCTCATGGTCTGTGGGTTCGAGCTCTGCATTGGGCTCTGTGCTGACTGGGGCCTGCTTTGGATTCTGTGTCTCCCTTTCTGCCCCTTCCCTGCTCACACTGCTGACTCTTCCTCTCTCAAAAATGAATAAACATTAAATAAAAATTAAAAAAAAAGATTTTTTTTTAATGTTTATTTTTGAGAGAAAGAGCACGAGTGGGGGAGGGGCAAAGAGAGAAGGAGATAGAGGGTCCAAAGCAGACTCTGAGCCCAATGCAGGGCTCAAACTCACGAACCGTGAAATTATGACCTGAGCCAAAATCAGACACTTAACCAACTGAACCGCCCAGGCACCCTGACTGAGCCACCCAGACACCCCAAGGTTTTCAACATTTTTGATGGATTTACAGCAGATCATATTTACTATGGTCTGACTCCTCTTATTGTTTCCAGTAACTTGACTAGGGTACATTGGTTGCCAAGGTTAAAGTTTTGGCATAAGGAGCAGTTTTTTTGTTGGGTAGAGCAAATTGGCTTCCTGGGGATCCGAAGCCATTCCCTTTTCTCTATCACAGCATGCTCAGGTCATTTGTTGGGTGCTTCTGCCATATGTGAGTCTTTGCTAAAGGAAATTGTCCAGCCATCAGCTAGACAGCAGAGGTGGTTCAAGGCAGTTTATTGATATCATAGATTATCAGTGGTGATAACAACTTGGTAAGAGGAAATTGAAGTCCAAGGTGGGTGAGGAAAAAAAATTGGCATCTATCTGCTTTAGTAAATTCAGATTTCAGTGTGTAGACAAGTAAGACTTAGGAGACTGTTGCAGAGAAAAAACTGACGTGGGGGAATAAGGTGATATGGACCAGTGAAATACATAATCTGATTTAAAAAAATCAATACCTAAATCTGAGATCAGCTTAAGAGTAGACCACTCTCAAGACAGTGATATTAATATATCTAAAGAAAGAATGAGGCAGCAGAAGAGAGTTAATAATAAAAGCATAAAGAAATATGTAAATATATATGAGGGTTTAGTTAGGCCAAAGGAGAGAGTCTAATAGTACTGATGGAAGAGAGGTCTTGAACTGTGACTGTAGGTATGACGTGTGGCTGATAAAGGTAGGTGTAGTATCCATCTGAGCCTCCTCATTCAGGTGCCATGCTCATCAAGCAACGTTCATCACCTTTGGGTATCCAGGAAGACAGACATGCTGAAGGGAGAGTAATCATTACACAACCACTTTACAGTTACTGTTCATTTAAAGTACTAATTGGACATTCTAGATTATACATCTGAATTGATGGTGTAATGAAGGCGTGAGAGTGAGGCTCTGTGTTCTCACAGAACCAGATTTTAGTGCCTGAAAATCTAAGAATTAGTCCTTTGGATATGTGTCCATGCCTTTTGGTAGATCAGACATCTGACTTTTCATTAGGTGACCGCTCTTTTGTTACTCCATTCAAGATGTAATCTTGTGGAATTGCTGCTGAAAATCTCTCAATGTAACTCACCCCCTAAACAGAATAAAAGAAATATGCTATATAATCATCTCAATATGTACAGAAAAGTATTTGAAAAAATTCAACACCCATCATGATAAAAATTCTTAGAAAACTAGAAATAGAAGGAAATTTTCTCAAGCTGGTAAAGCATCTATGAAAACTCTGTAGCGACCATTTACCATCTGTTTTCCCCCGATAGGTCTATAAATTCAGTTAATCTCAATCAGAATCCAAGCTGACTTTTATATAGAAGTTGACTAACTGTATCTAAAATTTATATGCAAGTGCAAAGAACCTAGAATAGTCAAAGCAATTTTAAGAAAAGAAAAAAGTTGGAAGACTTTTACTATTTTATTTCAAAACTTACATAAAGCTTCAGTAATTGTAGCAGTGTGGTACTAGCATAAGGATAGACAGATAGAACAATGAAACAGAACAGAGGGGTGCCTGGGTCGCTCAGTCGATTGGGTGTCTGACTTCTGCTCAGGTCATGATCTCACAGCTTGTGGGCTCGAGCCCCATGTCAGACTCTGTGCTAACAGCGCAAAGCCTGGAGCCTGCTTCAGATTCTGTCTCTGTCTCTCTCTCTGCCCCTCCCTCACTCATGCTTTCTCTCTTTCAAAAATAAACAAACATTAAAAAATTAAAGAAAAAAGAAACAGATCAGAGAGTCAGAAATAAACCCACATTTATAAGGTCAGTTGATTTTCAACAAAGATGCCAAGGTAATTCTTTAGAGAGAGAATAATCTTTTCAGTAAATGATGCTGGAACAACTTGATATCCACACTGAAAAAAAATCTCATCTTTTACATTGGATCATGGATTTAGACACTATATCCCCACCTCCCTGTCCTCCCTTTCTGGGGCTCCATTTGCATATTCGTTAGACTGCTTTATATTGTCTTATGCATCACTGAGGCCTTGTTAATTTTTTTGTGGTCTCTTTCTGTGCTTCATTTTGAATCTTTCTATTGCTTTGTCTTCAAGTTCAGTGATCTTTTCTTTTCCAGTATTTAATCTTCTGTTAATCTCATACAGTGAACTTCTTGGATATTGTAATTTTTTTTAATCTCTAGAAGTTTGGTTCTTTTTAAAAAATATCTTCTTTCTCAATATTTTCATATTTTCCTTTACATCTTTGAGCATATAGAAAATATTTATAACAGCTCTTTTAATATTCTTCTCTGCTCATCATCTTTGTCTCTTCCATTTTTGTCATAATGACTAATCATGATAATGAGTCATTTTTTTCTTTTTCTGTCTAGTGTTTTTGTTTGGATGGTAGATATCATGAATGTTACCTTCTTAAGTGCTATAATTGTATTATATAGTTGTATTCCTTTGACTTTGTTCTGGCAGACAGCTAAGTTTCTTTTGGGTCATTTTGATCCTTTCCAACTGTGGATTTGGAGTAGCCTTTACTGTAGAACCACTCCTAAGATGTGACCCTGCTACATTTCTCCTGAATGCTTGGTATATTTAATGAGATCCCTCCACTCTGGCTAGTGGAAACTCAGTTACCAACCCTGTGTGACCTCTGAGAATGACTGGGCTTCTCTCTACACGTGGGCTGGCTGCTGTGCCGGCAGGCTCAATAGTATCTCTGTCCAGATTTCTTTTACTCTCTCTCTGTGCAGGTCCCAACTCTTGAGTATTCTCCCCCAGAAATTCTACCAACCTCAGCTTCTTGAACTGTAGTTTCAGGGCTCGGTTTGGATTCCTTCTGGTTACCAGTCTTCAAGATGGTTCACAGTGATCCCCACCTCCTAGTATTCATGACCTTATGTTGTCCCCCACCCTATTATATCAAGATTGGTCTAACTAAGAGAATATGGTAAAACTAATGGCATATCACTTCTGAAACTAGGTCATAAAAGATACTGTGGCTTCTTTTTTGCTCTGTCTCTCTGATGACCTATTCTCTGGGAAGCCAGCTGCCATGTTGTGATGACACTCCCAAAAGAGCTCTTCCTAATTCTAGACCTAATCCTTCTCAGTCTGTCTAATCACGTTATCCTCCTACCAGAAACATTTGGTGTTACTTTGTAATATCCAAAATAAACGAAAGCTCCTTAGCAGAGCATAGTACCCCTTTTGACTTTTCTCCAGCACTCTTCTCCAGCTTCAGCTCTTCCCCCTTTCCCCAGTTTGTGTTCTGACCATAGCAAACTATTTTCAGCTGGCCATACTCATGCCTGCTCTCAACACCCTGCCTGGGCATTTGTATGTACTATTTCTACCCTCCTCATCCTTAGCTAACTCCTACTCTTCACATTAAAGGTCTTTTCCTCCAGTAAGCATGTCAGTACCCCCTTATGCTCTCCTAGGCTATGTTACGTGCCCTGCCCAGAGCTTCTTGGACTCCCTGTTTTCAGCCCCTTATTCTGTCTAAGGGGTGTGTTTAATTGTTAACCCTTCCCTCCCCAATACCTCTAATATCAAGGACAGTGATTGTTCTAGTTTACCATTATATCTCTCTGGCACACAAGGGGTGCTCACTCAGTACTTTTTGAATGAATAAGTTAGTGAAGAGAAGTGTTTAGAGTGCAGAAAGCAGTGACTTAGCATATTCAGTTACTCAGTTCATTTTAATGCTGGATTTAACATACAGATGAAATGAATAGTATTTGGTTAATTATAATAATTTGATGAATTTCATTTTTGTAGTGACTTTTGGGGAGAAATTAGGTAATATTTTACTCGTTTCACTACAGTAGCCTATTTTAAATTACATTCTTGAAAACTTAAAGCTTATATAGGAGTATATATAGGATTATTGTACAACAAGACTTTCCTTTTTCTAAACAGTTAAGTCATTCAGTTGTTCTGGGCCTGTGAAGCTTACCATCGAGTGGCATTTGAAGTATTATACCTGTCAAAATGAATATTCTAAGCTGGAGGTAAGTAAAATGCAAATATTTAATGTATATAAAGCTATGAGGGAAAAATTATGAGTGTAAAGATTTATTAGCTCATCAGGTGAGGAGGCCAGAAATAATAGATTGTCGTTTTAAAGGTGCCACAGATTTATTTTGGGACTTGAAATGCTTTAATTTTATCAAAGTATACTGCTTTCTGAGAAGGAAACAAATCCTTTCGTTTTCTTTTTGTCTTATGAAAAATGTTACTCAGTATTTAAATCAGGCATGTAGGAACTGTCGATAAAGGTGTTGTGGGTCACATACAAATAAAAATCAACGTAGTTTAAGAAAGAAATGTCAAAGTTTCACTTCATTCAAAAAGTTAGTGATAAGACACCTAGAACTTTAGTAAAGCCAGGTAGCTTTAGTGAGTAGAAGTAGATCTATCTCAGAGGTGAGGAGAGGAAAGGAGACCCCTCCCCCCACAACCAAGGAAAGGAGGGGAGGGTGTGAGAAGAGGAAAGAGGCCCAGCTGCATTTCTCCTGCCCCTGCATGGTCCACTGGCCTCCTGCGTCCCTCAGCAGTGTGTTTTCCTTTGACAGGTCTCCTGATGGTGGCTCACAGTCATTTCCTTCATGGCTTATCTGTTGTCTGTGTGCTCCTAGCTTGAATGATGCATGTGTTTCCATTTGGGGTGCCATTGTCCTCAAATATTGCCTTTGTGACTTTTTCCCCAGGTAGTTTACCCCTTCACACTAAATACTTCAGTGTGCTTCCTAAGAACAAGAGCGTTTACTTAGATTACACAGTGCAGTGATAAAATTTAGGGAATTTAACACTGATACAAAACTATTATCTAATAAACAGATCTTTTTAATGTTTTGCCAGTGTTCCCAAAACACCCTTTTTAGCAGTTTGTTGTTGTATCTTTTTTTTCCTGGTACAAGATCCAGTCTGTGGTCTCAATGCCTTTTTCCAGCGTTTTGTTTTGTTTTTGTTTTTTGTCTTTCACAATATGACACTGATGTATTCGATGTATACAAGCCACTTACTTTTCTAAAATGTTCCTCAGCTCCAGCACTTCTGGTGTTTCCTCATGATTAGATTCAGGTTATGTTTTTGGCAGGAGTACCGGAGAATTCTGGTTTGTCCCATTTTTGGTAATGTTAACTTTGGTCTTCTGGTTAAGGATGTTTCTGCCAGGTTTGTCCACTGTAGAATTACTACTTTTCTCTTTGCTGTTAACAATAGTTGTGAAGAGATACTTCTGTACTTGTGTATGAATGTCCTGATTTTTCATCAGTTCTTATCTGAACATCCTTTGAGTCTTGCCTGATGAATCAGCTATTGCTCTGATAATTGCTCAGCGGTGATTTTGTAATTTCATATTTTCTTCTGCTTAGTTAACATGCTGCCGTGAGGATGAGCCTGTTCATTTCCTCTTGTCTTACCTGTCAGTCAGTCACCTGAGCAGTTATCAGCATGGATTCATTGATTTTTACTTTCTTATGATGGGTTATAATCTGTTACTATTTTTTATTTATTTGGCTCAAATTGTTTCTCACTGGCCAGTCGAAGCCAGCTTAACCTTTTATTGATGACGGGAAGCTGCCATTAGGAGCCTTGTTTTACATCTGTCTTTGGTTTATCTTTCCTCATTGTTAAATGCTGCTTTTCTTTGTAAAATCTTTTTATACATGGGATAAGATGAAAGTCTTTTTATACATGGGATTAGCCTCAGGACAAAATATTTCTTATTTCTCCATGAGCCATCTCCTATGTAAATACCTTAATCGCCTTTCTTCCTGTAAGATTATGCTTGCATTATGTATTACTGTATCTGAGTGTATGGGAATGGCTAACATGTCATGATAACTTCATCATACTTAAAATTATATTTAAAACATTTTTCTTGGAGTGCCTGGTTGGCTTAGTCGGTTAAGCATATGACTTTGGCACAGGTCATGATCTTACAGTTTGGGAGTTCGAGCCTTGTGTGGGACTCGGTGCTGACAGCTCAGAGCCTGGAGCCTGCTTCAGATACTGTGTCTCCCTCTCCCTCTGCCCTCCCTCGCTCACACTCACTCTCCCTCTCTCAAAAATAAACAAACATTAAAACAAATTTTTTTAATATTTTCTTTTCGGCATTTTGTTCTGTATGTTTTCAAGTGCTCCAAACTGAATAAATCTTTGATTTCATTTAGATGTTAAGTTTTACTTATCTTCTTCAGTAAGAAGCATGGAAATAAATTATAACCCAGAATTTTGCCTTGAATAGGAGGAACTATCACAAAAACATGAACCTAGCGTCGATGAAGACTTTTGTGGTCATTATTTCAAGAATGCTGAATGTTGGACAACAAAATATGAAAACATAAATTGCAACAGTGACTTACAGGTGTTTCCCTCATTGAATGTGAGTATCTGTGTTGTCAAAGTAGAGTTTACTGTGTACTCCCACTGAATATAAGTAGTAACTTAAATTCTATTCTCTCAACATTTTGATGAAGAAAGGTGCTTAGTTATTTTTAGGTTAAGTTCTTTTGAATGTGTGGTAGTAGGTAATAAGTAAGACATTGGCACCATTGTTCCGTTTCTTTGAGCCCCTTTGCAACAATAGTCTTGAAGAGGAACCCTTTCGTCTTCCCATCCTGATCTGCTGTCCGTTCATCTGTCACTCTCTCTTGTTTCCACTCCAGTCCTACCTTTGCCCCCATCACTATCAGAACAGCTCGTCAACATTTCCAGTGATCTCCATGTTGTGAGATCCAGTGGTCTCTTAGTCTTACCCAAGGTCTGTCAGCCTTCTTGACTTATCAGCACTTAAAGCTACTTGACCACTCTCCCTTCTCTTATGTACTTACTTCCCTCCCTGTTTGGAATATTAGATACTAAAATGTTAACAGCACTTATCCATGGGCTGTGGGTCATTTTATCTTATTTTTTTGTCCTGTAAATTCTGAAATACAAATATATCTTTGGTAAAAATAGTAAAGGGTTCTTAAAATGTGTATTGAGGTGCGATAAAGGTAAAGTGTGCATATCAGAAGTGGATGGCTTGATGAATTTACAGAACCTGAACACACGAGTATAGGCCCAGATCAAATACAGAATATTTTAGCCCCTATGCTCCCATTTTAAGTCCTAACACCTTCCCCACCAAAGGTAACCACTATCCTGATTTAAAAAATAGTTTTTCAATGGGGTGCTCAGTCAGTTGAACGTCCATCTTTGCTCAGGACGTGAACTTGAGGTTCGTGAGATCAAGCCCACGTCAGGCTCTGTGCTCAGAGCTTGGAGCCTGGAGCGTGCTTCAGATTCTCTGTCTCCCTCTCCCTCTGTTCCTCCCCTACTTGCATCTGTCTCTCTGTCTCTCAAAAATAAATAAAGATTAAAAAATTTTTTTTAATTTTTTCAAAAGCAGGATTTTGTTATTCATGTTTGTGCTACAAGGAGATGTGTTCTCTGGTGTTTAGCTTTCAAATCTTTACTTTTTTCCTAACACGTTTTTTTCTTAATTGTTAAGACAGCTTTCCCCCATAGAAGTGCAGCAATATAAAATGGAATCATTCTATTTGTTTTTCCAGAATAAGGAACTAGTTACAAATATCAGAAATGTTTCAAACCAGGAAGGATCAACGGTAAGTCATTTTATTTGTCTTTAAATCAAATGTATACAGGTTCTAGGAAGCCTGAAAAGAATAGATACTTGGAGAATGATAGACAGTAGAGTTATTAGAAGTGGGGGGGGAAAAAAGAAACATTATTTCAAACAGTATATTTTTGTGTGTGTCTATATGAATTTTGTACATGTTTGTTTCTGTCTTTGTTTAAAATTTCCTTTTTACGTTGTAATTTAAGGTTAACTGCTTAGCAGCCTTTTTTCAAATGCCTAGCATAACAATGGGCTGGTCTGGACCATCACTGAGGATGGAAATAAATAGATAGAGACCATGAGTGTAGCACCGGGGAGAGGAAAAAATTTGGTGTTTGGGGGAATTCTAAAAGTCAGAAGACCAAGAGGTGGAGAGGGTTGGAAGCAGCTGTGTATAGGGAATGAAGGCAGGTTTAGGAGAGTTTAATGTTTGTTTTCATCTTGTGACCCTTCGTGTTTCCTATGTTTTTCAACCATCTTAAAGAGTAGTGTCATAGAAGAAAGGCATTCACTCTGCAGTGGCTGGAACAAACTCTTTGCTTTGCACAGGCTGTGTCGCAGGTGGAGGCATAGGAAATGGAACGATAGGAAATATTCTGGATGGATGGATGTGAAAAGTTTGATGCAGTTATGTGGGGGCATTGCAGCATTCACAGGCATTACAGTGGGCAGAGTCCTTTCCCAGCAGGACCGCCAGTACCATAGATCTTAAGGGTTTAAGTAATTGAACTTATGTCCTAAATCTGTACAGTCTTTCTAACAATGTTATCTGACTTCTAATTCCCCCAGTTTAGTTCAAAACCATGCACATTTAAAAACTGAATACTTAATATTATGATAAAACATGGGAAGAGTAGTATTAGAAAAAGATATTTGAATGGTAATATTAAGTAAGGCATAAAATGGGAACACTTGGGGGAGATTCTTTAGAAATATTAAAAGGGGGCACCTGCGTGGCTCAGTTGGTTAAGCATCTGACTTTGGCTCAGTTCATGATCTCACGGTTCATGAGTTTGAGCCCCAGTCAGGCTCCGTGCTGACAGCTCAGAACTTGGAGCCTGCTTCAGTTTCTGTGTCTCCCTCTCTCAGCCCCTCCTGCTGCTCACACTGTCTCTCTCTCTCTCTCTCAAAAATAAGTTAACATTAAAAAAAAAAGAAATATTAAAAGTAGAAAAATTGAAGAGTAGAAAAGCTTTTTTTCCTCTTTCATTGCTTTGATTCTGAGAGGACCATGGGGGGAAAACAATGGGGAAAATCCTTCCAGTGTCCAGTGCCCCTCCACTACCTAGCATTTCTTTTCATTGCTCTAAAACTGGAAAGTGGGGTGCCTGGGCAGCTCAGTCAGTTAAGAGACCAACTCTTGGTTTTTGGCTCAGGTCATGATATCATGGTTTGTGAGTTTGAGCCCCATGTCAGGCTCTGTACTGACAGCAAGGAGCCTGCTTGGGATTTTCTCTCTGCCCTTCTCCTGTTCATCCTCTCTTTCTCTCTCTCTCAAAATAAATAAATAAACTTTAAAAATTTTAAAACAGTGAAAAGTAACCCAATTCAGTTACTATAAGTTGTGTTAAAATGTGGTGAACGATTGTTGAACTATATTTTCTTTTTTTTTTTTTTAATATTTTTATTCATTTCTAGGAGAGAGAGAGAGACAGCGTGAGCAGGGGAGGGTCAGAGAGAGAAGGAGACACAGACTCTGAAACAGGCTCCAGGCTCTGAGCTGGCAGTCAGCACAGAGCCCGACGCGGGGCTCGAACCCACAAACCGCGTGATCATGACCTAAGCGAAAGTCGGACGCCTTAACCGACTAAGCCACCCACGTGCCCCTGAACTATGTTTTCTATAACGGTTTTTTTAAATAACAAAGGATATGTATCTTTTTTTTTTTCTGTTTCAGGATGTAATAGCCAGAACACAGAGAGATGGGTTTCATATATTTGTTGTTTCTGTGAAAACGGACAAAACAGATGCAAGATGGAATTTGAATGGTATATTTAAACTGCATGCATGTTTGCTGTCTGTTTTTACTGTATTCTGTGTTTTTGTCATTGACCTCAATTTACATTTTCTGTTAAAATACATCATTGAAAACCAAATCTCCGTTAATCACAAAAATAAATGACCTGTTTATCTGGGATACTTAAAACTTTTTGTTTATCTTACTATGATATTTTTTAATGAATTGGAAATTTAAAATTAAGATAAATTTTTAAAATTTCAAACTCTGGTGGGATATAACACTTTCATCCTTTCAGATTAAAAAAATTTTTCTCATATAGAAATGGGTAGGCAACATTTTAATTGTAGTTGAAGTAGATTGTATTCTATATCAGGAAAATGGCCATCACCAGGGGTTTAAAATTTTTATTTTAAAGCCTCTGTCTGTAGTTTAGGAGTAGAAGTAACCTGTCTGGCGATTACTTCTGTGGTCAGTGAGCTTCGTGCCACCCCCCACCCCGCCCCCGCCAGTGCAAGAGTGGGCTTACAATAAGCAGTTTTCCAGGGAGTGAATGCTTTCACAGAGCATTGAATTGCTTCGGCTGTCGTTTTGCAGAGTGAGCGTCTGTTGGACCAGTAGTAGCCAAACAGCATGTGAGGATCCTGCTCCGTTTCATCCACTAGGGACACAGGGGTGAAGCCAGGCTTTGCCTTTGAGAGTTGCCCAGTCCAGCCGGGAGGCAGAAAGTACTGAGGGGACACAGGCACTGCTTCAGAGAAGGCACAGAACTGGCATACTGCAGGGGAAGCTGGGGGAGGTGGCTGCTCTGGAAGAGTGGGAAGTAGGGCTTCCTCCCAGAGGTGACATAATGGGCCAGATAAGAGAGCTGTTACCTAGATTTGTGTGTCCCCCCACACCCCCACCTTCCCAGGTATTGTGTCTTTTCCCCTGATACCAGCAGGCAGTTTTAAGGCCCTGCTAGTTAGTAACAAGCTATTACTGAGCCCCGTAAGTCTTATACTGTATTTGGTGCTCTGTTTATTGTTACCTTGGACAGCAACCCAAACGAGATGCTTGAATTCAGTAATTTATCCCAAGTTACACTAAGGAAGACAAAGTCCTCAGTGAGGTCAGTGACTCAGCATGGGGCCACTCTAAGGCCGGCACTGCTTTGCTGTGTGCATAAGATCAGATTTGGCCCAGGTTTTACAGCAGCTTGTATGCAAGTAAAGTGTCTTGATAAGATTACATGTTAATGACTAGTAAATAGCCAACATATTGTGTGTCTGAGGTAAAAATTCAGCATTTGTTAGCTTGGTGTGTGTTCTTGGAGCCTTCTGGGAAACAAGCTTACATTTCGAAATATAAGAAAAGACTAATTGGTAATTTAATTCTTTGATGTCTTTATCCCCATCTTCACCAGTTTCTCTTTCTATGATTGGGCCTCATGGATATATTTCTGCATCAGATTGGCCTCTGATGATTGTGAGTATTTCTCAGAATTTGTTTCCTTTTTTAAAAATGAATTTTATATCCTAATTGGAAAATTTAACAACTTAAAGAGCTCAGTGGTGGTATCCCTTAGTAGTAATGCTGTGGCATACCTTCTGTTTCTGGCTAGAGGGACAGGAAAATAAAAGACTGGATACTTGAATGAAGAAATGTCCATTTTTCAAGTGATCACAAGCCTTAACTGACTAAAATTGCTCTTCTTCCTACAGTTTTACATGGTGATGTGTGTCGTTTATATTTTATATGGCGTACTGTGGCTCATGTGGTCTGCCTGTTATTGGAAAGATATATTACGAATTCAGTTCTGGATTGCAGCTGTTATTTTCCTGGGAATGCTTGAAAAAGCAGTTTTTTATACTGAATATCAAAACATCAGCAGCACTGGGCTATCAAGTAAGCTGTGACTCTCTCTGTACGTACAGTATGATCCAAGAAGCCCCTTGCATTTGTGAGTAGAGCTGCGGGAGTCGTCCTTTGCACAGTGGTTTGGGAGCAGCTGGATTGTAGATGAGGAGGGATGAGAACGTGAGAGTAGGACTCTGATCTAGGCTGGCGTCTGTGTCGTCCTCATTTTCTGTTTCCCTTCTTTGCCTCACTTTCCTCCTGGGGAAAAGAAGATTCCCATTTCAGTGATTGGACTAAATCAACAAAAGTTCCAGACGGGGGCACTTTAGGTGCTACCAAACCTTTTAACATATTTCTCTGTCTTTGCCCCATACTCTTTCTTCTCATTTCTCCTCCACAAAAGAAAAGAAGGAAAATTTGACCCCAGGGAGTAAAATCAGTAGTTACAGGATGCACGGTGCCTGCAGCCTCCTTGCATCCTCTCTGCCTCTTCACTCACAGAGAACTCCAGGTGACCACTGGAGGCCCCTCACAGTTCACACAGGGAAGCGTGAGAATCCGGGAGGGCAGGAAGGTGGGCATCCTCAGATGTGTGCCCCAGGTTGCTAGAAGGTGGAAGGCAGAAAGACCAGAGAGGTAAAGGTACAATTCCATCACCCAACCTTTGTAAAGGTAGGTAGCTCCAAAGGGATGAAGCACTCTGGAGTGATCAGTTCTGAGTGATCAGTTAACATGATCTTTGTATGGATCTTCATTGGGTGTGATTGTGTCTGCTATTTATTTTTATATTTATGAGTGAGTTGGAATGTAGATGAAGCAGATTTGCCAGACTGTTGATAATTATTGAAGCTGAGTATTGGGTACATGGGAGTTCACTATACTGCTTTTTCTGTGTTGGGGAATGGTTGCAATTCCCAAAATGAAAGGATAGGTACAAAAGAAGAAAGTACAGACATCCAGGAGGGCACATTAGAGGTAGTGTAAGAGGTTTTAGTGGTATTTGTGTGTGTTTGTGTGCGTGTGTGCATTGTGTGCACATGTGTGTGTGTGTGCGCACACGCTCTAAACCAAATAATGAAGGAGGAGTGAGGCTGCTGCTCCTGGCTGGGGAGTAAAGCATTCTTGAATGTGAAGTAAGGCAGTTCGACTCCTTTGCTCTGAGTGGTGGTCCCGTCTTGTCTAGGGAGTGGTGAGGGTGGCCTGAATGTCAGTGAAGAGCAGCAGGAGCCTGAGAGACAAGGAGAGATGAGAGACCACGTGCCATCCTCAGGGACTTCAAGCCCTCTGTCTGAGATGATACGATCAGGGCTTAGGAGAGAAACCCCAGGCTGCTGTGAGTGTTTGTGAGGAGTCCTGCGAAAGGGACCGGTGCTAGACGGCATGGCTGATGCTATTTCTGATTTTCCCAAGTGGGAATTCTGTAACCCAGGCTGTCTTGCTTAGCACTGATCCTGCAGGGACAGGAGACAGTGATTGTTAGGGCCCAACATGGGCACCTTAAGAACAGGTCATGTCAGATTGACTTCTTTCATGCTTCTAAACTTAGTGTCACTATCTGGACTTCTTAAAGGTATTTGACAACTGTGACTTCTTGTGGACAAGATGGAGAAATGTGCGCCGGAATCCGGCTGTGCAGCTGTATCTAAGGAGCCTGTGCACATGAGCACCGATGAGTCTTGTCACTATGGAGCTGGGTTGTCCAGTGTGGCGGCCATAAGCCACATCTGGCTGTTTAAGTAAAATTAGCAGTTCACTTTCTCCGTTGCATTAGCTGCATTTCAAATGCTCAGTAGCCATGTGTGACCTTTGATTACTGAGTTGGACAGCACAGCAGCCACGGTTCTCATCCCTGCTGCACCTAAGCGTCACTTGAAGAAGTTTAAAGCAATACCAGTGCCAGAGATTCTGGTTGGAGTAGGGCCTAAGAATTGGTTCTGTTGAGAGGCTTCCCATGTGATTCTAGTGGGCATCTAGGATTGAGAACCACTGGCTTAGAAGGAGGTGAGACACCTGTCTCACAGGTTTTAGACCTTGTGGCTGGTTTATCCTTGTTACTCACCTAACATTTATTGCAGACCTGTGCATATGTAGAGAACATTCACTATAATTCTGTGGATGGTGTCAGGCTGGCAGAGTTAATACAGGAGGTGTAGAGAATAATTTTAGGTGGGCCCTTCTCACATGAAGGTACTTGAAGGGGTGCAGAGAGATTTGATGTCCCAAATGGAAAGGGAAAACTTAATAGGTATGACCTTGAACTTGGGGTTGAGGTACAAATTGCAAAAATACAAATGGGAAACGTTTCTAAAGGATTTAAAGGTTGAAGCTGATGAAGCTCAACATAGATAGTTATAGACAGTTATGCCTCCCACCAGCTCCCTCCGCCTTGGGTTACAGCAGGAGGTCTAGCAGTCAAGACACTGAGAAGGTCCACCTGCCAGGAAGGTTGTATTCACTTTACTCCAAGAGGGAAATAATCCAGACTGAGCGGCTCCTGAAGGAATTTGAAAGCACGCCACCCTTAAACATCGGTCATCCTAAACCTCTTCACATTCTGCATCCACTCTTAGAGAGTTCATCCATTGTTTTTCTTCCTAACGCTCAACCTCCTGGCCAGATGTCTGTCCTGAGCTGCAGACCTAGTAGCTGGTCGTCTGCCAAACGTCTTCTGAGTGCCTTGCAGCCTTCTCATCTCTGTAGGGCAGAGAAGGAACTCACCTTTTCCGCCCTTGTACTTTCAACTTGCTTTAGTCCAAACCTGTAGCCACACAGTAGGAGCATAATACATAAATGATGAAGGCATCCTAGAGAAAAGAAAACTGCAGAGGACCTTATAGTTTTCATGTATTTACAGGACAGAAAGTTCTTTATAGCCTCAAGGGGAAGAACAAGAACAGAGTGAAGTGAGGGGAGATTTTAGCCTGATATAGGAAAGCTGTGCCTAAAAGAGCAGAGCAAATATGGAGTGAATTCTTCAGGAGGTAATGAATTGCCCTCCACTGAGGTTTTCAAACATTTGGATTAGATGACCTTTAAAGCAAATAAGGCTAATGCGTCTGGGGTCAGAATGTAGTTAATACACAGTACATCTTTAGAATCTTGGTGGCAGGCCTCTCTCTAGATGTACACAGAATGAATGGTTTTCTTTCTTCCCCTCAGCCCAAGGTTTATTGATATTTGCAGAGCTGTTATCTGCGGTTAAGAGGACATTGGCTCGCCTTCTTGTGATCATTGTGAGCTTGGGCTACGGCATTGTGAAGTAAGTATTGGCATATTGGAAAGATACTGAGCTTCCGGCCTTGTGACTCCTTCCACCACATTATGAGCTCTGTGAAACTGGACACTTCTTAGTACTGTAATATGAACCCTGTAGGGAAATACCAGCGAGAACGTGTTTTCACAGTACCTCCGTGTACTGGCCACTTGACCCTGTCCTCAAACAAAGATCTTGAATTTGAAGTCCAGTGACTTTTTATAGTTAGATGAAGAAGTAATCAACTTTAAGAATAATGGAAAATTTTAAATGATTCCTAAAATTTAAACCATTTTCTATTTCCTAGACCCATAGTTCTGCTTTTACGATTTTATTCAATCAAATATTGTAAGAGAGGATTAAGCACCAGGTCAGCAGGATTTCAGACCGAAACCTGGCTGTCCATTGAGGACCCTGCTTCTTCCAGATCCCCTCAGGCTGATCTTTTCTCTCCCATACCTATGAGTCACTGCGAATGAACGTGGAACAGCTTGTCCTCTTTATTCTTACTGCCTTTTTAAAAAAACCTCTCTAATTCCCAGAAGCTCAAACTTGCAGCCGGGATCACCTGCTATATCTTCTTACTACAGTCACCTTTTAAGTTTCAGATTTCTCCCCTCATCCCTTAATTCATGGAGTACTTGTTCCCCAACTTTCTCAACACGTTGTGTGTCAGAATTCCCTGTGATTTCCATTTCTTTGTGGGTGATCCTATAAGTAACCTGCTCACCTCCATTGGTCTTATCTGTCCCCTCACCTCAGTTACTGATTCCCTCTGCCATTTTCTAGACTTTATTGTTATGTTTAACTGTATTCTCTTTATAATTGCAAATTTAAGCAATCCACTTTTCCACTGTCACCTTCTCTGTTTCCTGTTTACTTTTCCTAATATATCAGCTTCATTCTCTGACGCTGGTATGGCCTCTGGCCTTTTGATCCTGCCATCTTCCATGGATCCTTCAGGGTGCTGAACGGCTACCCATGGGCACCTGAAGCCCTCCGCCTTTCTCTTAGCCCGCCTCCCTTCACAAATCCAGCTTTCCATGTGCTTCGGGCGTCTACTGCAGCGGCAGAATCTGCCTGCGAACACCCGACCAGATTGCAGGCCCGTGTCACTTCATGACCCAGACCTTTAAGTGCGCCCTTAGTGTCCCTGGTAGTTCTTCTGGATCCCCTTGCCCATCTCTGGCCCCTTTCCCACTCTGCAGAAGACCTTATACCCATTCTCTCCCCTCCAGCCTTGGATTCCCTGCTCACATCTGTTGTAGTTGATCCTGGTTCTTTTCTCACTGAGAAAATAGAAGCCACCAGAAAGGAATTCTAATGCCTTCCTGCCCCCAGACCTGTACCATTCCCCCCATATCCGAACACACACAGCGTTCTCCTCCTCTTGAAAGAAAGGCACGTGGTTTAGTCCTTCCCCTGCTCTTGGGCTCCGGGTCCTGTTACCTCTCGTCTGCCAGTGAAGCTGCTCTGGTGGCCGCTTCTGTTTGCTCCGGGCTCCTCAGTTTTCCTCTGGTGGGTCAGTGCCATCAGCATGCTGTTATTTCTGTCATCATCAGGAGCAGACCTCCCTCGATCCCAGCTGACACTCCCCTCTGCTTCTCCTGCATTCCCCCTCACCCCTGAGCAGCAGCCTTTCTCAGATGGGTGCTCTGTACTTGCCACTCCAGCTTCCCTCCTTTTCTCCTGAACACACCCTAGTGAAGTTTTGCCTCTGTTCCTCCATTGAGACTGCTCTTGTCAATCACCTTGACCTCTCAGTTGCCAAAACCACATGGCCTTGCTCAGCTTTTGTGCAGGGGCCCTGGCTGCTCATTCCTAGCCCCCTCACCCCCTTGCTGCGCAGTCTTTGTCTTCCTGAGCTCCAGCATTGAAGTGCCCCAGGCCTCCGCTCACACGACTCAAAGCCCTGGGGCGCACTCATCTAGTTTTTTGGCTCTAATGTCAGGACACATCCAGAGTGAACCTCCCCCTCCCTTGCACACCAATCACCCTGGGCCCCACCACCATCTTCTCACCGTAGATAACTTCAGTGCCCTCCCTAACTGGTTTCCCAGCATCTGCCCTGGTCTCCTGTCAGTCAAAACAGACAAAATAGAGGCCAAGATGATCCTTTTAAAGTTTATATTTGTTTATTTGGAGAGAGATAAAGAGCGAGCTGGGGAGGGCCAGAAAGAAAGAATCCCAAACAGGCTCTGGGCTGTCAGCTCAGAGCCCGATGTGGAGCTTGAACTCATGAACTATGAGATCATGACCTGAGCCAAAATCAAGAGTTGAACACTTAACCGCCTGAGCCGCCCAGGTGCCCCAAGATGATCCTTTATAAACGTAACTCTGATCCCCTTACATACCTGCCCATCTCGCTCAGTAAAAGCCAGATTCCCTTTGCGGTTTTCCAGATGGCTGACCTCACCTGCCACTCCCTTTTGAACACTCTGCTCCATCCTGCAGGCTTTCCTCCTGTTGCTGTTTCTTAAACACAGCACACACTTCCTCACAGAGCAGTAAAGGCTTCTGCCTGTAAGCGTCTTGCCCCAAACTCCGGGCGTGGTTTGCTTCCTCACTCCCTTTTCTCTGCTCACTGTCCTCTCGCAGAGAGCCTAGCACTGTCAGGACTCCCGATGTGGTGCACACTCTCCATCGCTCTGACCCTCATCCCGTTTATAGCTCCAGTTGATGCAAACGTTAGGATTTGTTGTCTCTTCCCCCCACTTGAATGTGACTTCCATGGAGGAGGAGCTTTGCTGCAGGTGTCCTGCTACTTCCTAAGGCCCCAGTACAGTCCCTGGCACATAGTAGGCACTCAGCAAACACACACTGAATATACAGACATATCCCTGTGAGCTTAAGATTGGTGTAGTTAGCAAGGTTTTAGCCAGGACAACTTTTTTCCGTGGGTATTTATTGAAATTCCTTCTCAGATACTTTTTGGGGTTTTTGCGGGAGTTGGGGGGGGTGGAGAGGTTGTTTGTTTCTTTGTTTTTGCCCTCTGTACAGTAGTCAGAACACAGAATCCTGGCTGTAAGGAGTCGAAATAAACAATTTTGATGAACTAAATTAGATACAGAGTCTTAAATATAAGCTATGGCTATTAGTTTAATTTTTAGTTAGATTTTATCTTAAAGTGACAACATAAAGTGTTTTTCCAAAATCAGGTTTGTTTTTTCTTCTAATTAGACTGGCTAGAGGGTTTTTGAGCTAAAATATTTGTGCTATATGATTTGCAAATTTCATGAAGTTTCAATTCTGTTTCCGAATTACTCATTGCAAAAATCACTGTCTTTGCATTTTCCCAAATTATCTATATCTTTAGGGAATAAAAAAAGCTATTTTAGTTCTTTTCCATGTAAAGAATGGAAACTGAAAAGTGTTAGCACTCTTGTTTGGGCCACTGAGCAAAGAAAGGGGGTAAACTTTGATCTCTTCATACTTCTGTTCTTTTTCCTGAGCCCAAGTCAGAAAACTAGTGGCTTATCTTTAATAAAATGTATCTCAGAACAGTTTTTAGTTAATGTTAATGAAAGAATTAAGTTACTGTTTCTGTCAGTGACACAAGTAGGCACTGGCTCTCCTAGGCTTCACCAGTCTACTCTTCCGCTCTGCGGAGTGAGTACCTGCATGGCCTCAACGTGTTGCTGCCTGGGCATCCATCCAGCTTCAGTTCCTAGTGGAGACCCAGTTGTCCTGAGCCTGTTTCCACCTTGTTCCCAGGAAACACACTGTTTCTTAAAACTGAGGAAGCAAAGGCAGGGTCAGGACAGGCTGATTTGATTAGATAATGACTTCTCTCATATTGGAAAATTGGGCCAGTGATTGTATACAAATGCATGTTACTTACCCATGCCTTTTCTCTTTTTCTCTTTTTCCTCTTCTTCATTCCAGGCCTCGTTTAGGAACAGTCATGCACCGGGTGGTTGGACTGGGGATTCTTTACTTTATCTTCGCGGCTATTGAAGGCGTGATGAGAGTTATTGGGGTAAAAACTATATAATTCCACTTCTGTCCCTTTTTATTGTTGCTGTGAAATATAATTTAACTTTATATTTCCTGAGATGAATTTTTAAAGATAGGAAATTTATGAAAAAAGCCCAATTTGAGCTCCCCCCCATGGAATATTTCATTTCTTAAATAGCTTCCTGAAAGTAGTAAAAGAACTTTTTAAAATAAGATGGATTATGAAGGAAAATATGTTCGCTTATGAAGGCACCAATTGATGTCATCCCAGGAATGACATCGCCAGAATGTTCCATCTCAAAAACATTCTTTATAAAGAACATTTGTCTTTGTCATCGTGCAGTCTGCACACATTCATTTCTTCCTTCACCCTTGGTTTAAACATGTGGAAGTGAACAGAATTAACTGTACCCTTCACACATGCAGATACTACATCTCATCACGCTTAAGTCTCATTTGGTTTCAGCTGTTCTCTGACTCTTGTGGATTCAGTGTTTGGGGATTCACCAGACTCCACTCTTGGAAGAACCGTGAGAAGGTGGTGTCCAGGGGGAAATGACTCAGGCAGTGTGGGCGGCAGTGCCTTTCTCTCTAAGAAGAGGCAGAACATTTATATCTGGGAAGACCCCTAGATTTCTAGCTCTCGGTTTTTCTTAATAATATGGTTGACGACTGAGTGACCAAGCAGCTTATTATACTTTACTTGATTCAAAGAACCTAGTAATTTTTACCCAGAATGTCTTTTGGATCACTGGGCATGGAGCGAATGATCTTAACGTTGCCGTCGAAATTTACTTCACATATTTTGATCTGACCCAGACAGCAGGACATTTGTCCAGTAATGTTAACAGCCTCATTATTCTTTCTATTATCTTTAATACATCTGCATTCTGTATTAGATACACTTGCTCTTTTCATCTTTGACTCTTTGAAAGGCACATTTATTTTTACTTTCACATAACAGTGAAACACTGTGCATTTATATACATAATTTACAGGAGCTAGTCTTTGCTAGAAAGAAAAGATAAATATCCCACATGTAGATAGATATAGTATAAACATTGTTTTTCTTTAAAGTTTTATGTAGATAACATCTTAGTTATAACTTCCCCTCCCTTAGTTATAACTTTTAAATATGCTTTTCTGTCAGTTTGTGAGAAAAGAAAGTATCTAATCTATGGTTTATTTTTAGCCTTTCAGAGTTCCTTGTGTGTATCCCTTCGCAGATAGTAGGAAAGATCAGGAATCCGTTTCATTAGTAGCCCAGGCTGTAGGTTTGGTGTGGAGAGGGGAGAGATTGAAATGGTTGATCTGAGTGGAGCTGGAGACATGATATGTTTTATTTGCCATTCCATGATACAGTTTTGCATTATCGTTGAATAGGCGGATGGCAACCCAGCACCCATTGCTGCCCAAACAAAAATTTCTGTGTGCTTAGGCACACTATTATTAGGAATAAAAGTTTTCTGTGGCTTTTGTAAAATGATGAGATGATCTAAATTCTTTTTCTTTATCATATAATAATTTCTATAATAAAATGAAACTTTTACATTCAGATTTTTTCCCCTTATTTTTATCTTTCAGGGTTCTAACCATTTAGCTGTCATTTTTGGTGACATTATTTTGGCAGTTATTGACTCCATTTTTGTATGGTTCATATCCTTTACTATGTCCTAAAGTAGTTTGTTGTATCATTAAAATCAGATTACTTTTAATACTTTTCCATTATAATAGAAGGAACTATAGTTATGCATTACTACCTTTAACCTCAATACAGGAATTTAGTTGAAGGTGAAAAAGTAACAATTACCCAAACAAAGAATATCCTTCTTTTTCTATTCAACAAATTTAAGTGCTCAATATGTGCCCCATATTGCGGAGACAGAGAAGAAAAAGGTATTGTCCCTGTATTACTCTGGTAGGTAAGACAAATACATAACTGGGAACAATAAAGTGATAATAATTGCCATTGTAAAGAGGTGCCATGCAAACAGAGGAGAGAGAAAGCACGTCTAGTGCAAACCCCAGGAAAGACTTCACAGAGATGGTGACATTACATTGAGACTGGGAGAACAGATAGGAGCTAACCAGGAAGAGAAGTGGGGAAAACGCATTTTGGGAATATTGGGGGAACAAATAGTGGGAAGTGTGAAAATATAGGGACAGTGGTAGAATGTCCCAGAGTAGCTTGCCTATAGGTAAACACGTATGGGAGACTTATGGAAGTGGGGCCAGAAGAGAAAGGTAGAATGATGTGCTCAAGAGTCTAAAGTTCCTTCCGCAGGGAGAGAGGAGGCAGGACTCAAAGCCATACAGGCAAATACCATGATGAAATCTGTGTTAGAAAGAACTCAAGAATGACATGTAAAGGGACCTGGAAGAGACACCTGCCTGGCTCAGTTGGAAGAACGTGAGACTCTTGATCTTGGGATTGTGAGTTTGAACCCCATGTTGAGTGTAGAGATTATGTAAAAATAAAATCTTTAAAAATAAAAATGACCTGGAAAAGGAGGATCTAGGGTATTGAGACAGGAAGTCTGGTAAAGAGTCATGTGCAGTGGTCCAAAAAAAAAGGTGGTAAGAGTTAGAATTAGGGCAGAGGGAATGGGAAAAAGACCCCAGATAATAGACTTAGTAGAAATGGGTGAGAAAAGAAAGGCAAGAGCGCAAGAGAAGTCTTGCACATCTCATTTGGGTGGCTGGGAACAGTTTTGCTCCCCCAAAGCTGTGAAAAGGACCATCATGGATGAAGTTTGAGCTGACTAGGGGCTGTAGTGTTAAGTGGAGAGCTGGAAATCCCAGCCTGGGTTTGTAAGAGGAATCAGAACTGGTGGTAAAGGTTGGAGGCCATCTTCATGTGAGACAAGGTTGTAGCTTGTAGAAGCGACCCAAGAACACATAGACCAGTGAGAGGAGAGGACCAGGGTGATGCCTAGTGGAATGGAAACGTGCATGGAACACCAGCATAGAAGAACCCAGAAATTGTCCCTGGGTGAAGACTGGGCGAGCTTTGGAAAGGAAGGGTGGTCCACAGCGGCCAGTAAGTCCAGAGAGATGAACTGCCAAGGTGCACCTGGCTTAGGCCATTCCAGAGGTCACGGTGGGACAGCAGGAGGGCAGGATCAGTGAAGCTGGTGGGGCAGAAGCCATACTGCAGCAGCAGGAGAACCTTACAGAGGCAAGGGGAGCCATCCTCGACCCTCCTCGCTGCGTCAGTGACTCCAATCTGGGAAATCCCATTCTCTTTAACTCCAAGGCTGAGCCCTCTACTACGCATTCGTGGAAATAGAAGGAAACCTAAAGAAAGTGTGAGCTAGGCAGAGCAGAGTGCAGGGCTGTGCGTATCCCAGAACATTATTTTTATGTTTCTTCTGCAGTTATACCCTCTTTGAAACTCTTTCCTGTAGATTTTGTTTTTACCAAGTTTTGTTTTTGGGTTTCCACTATCTTCAATACTTGTCTTTTACCTTTTAATGTTAAATGTTCTTTCATTTCCTTGTAATTTCTTTCCATTTTCTCATGTTTGTCTCTCATAGGAAGGCCAGAGGGCTTGCATTTGCCTCTGTTTCTCCTCTGCAAAGATCCCTCCCCGCTTTCTGCAGGCGGGTGAACACATGCAGCGCTGCTAATGGCCTTTTCTGAGTCCCTAGGGGTGTTTTCTTCTCAACCCAGTCTATCTGCTCCTTAAACTCCCTGTTTGTGAATTTTTAGTATGCTTCCAAGTTAAAAACAAACAGACAAAAACCTTTGAGTGTACTATCCTTACTCTGTAGATCCATGGATCTCAGGCTCGTTTGGGTGCCAAGACCAGAGAGGCCTTTGAAAATGAATGAATGCTGTCATGCTTCTTTTCCCAAGGTTATAAACACACACCCCATGGAAGTTTTGCTTGTGCTGGGGCATTTAAAAACCTAGATTATATCCATGGATCCTCTGGTGTCTGAGGGGTGTCTAGTTAAGAAATAATACCTGATTTTTTGTTAGTCTTTATTTTATTTTGATTTTTTTTTAATTTTTTAAAAATGTTTTTATTTATTTCTAGGAGAGAGAAAGCGAGAGAGAGACAGCGTGAGCAGGGGAGGGTCAGAGAGAGAGGGAGTCACAGACTCTGAAACAGGCTCCAGGCTTTGAGCTGGTAATCAGCACAGAGCCCGACGCGGGGCTCGAACCCACGAACCGCGAGATCATGACCTAAGTGAAAGTCGGACGCTCAACCGACTAAGCCACCCAGGTGCCCCTAGTCTTTATTTTATTTTGAGAGAGACAGAGAGAGACAGAGAGATGGGTGGAAAGGAGGGGGTAGAGAGAGAGGAAGACACAGAATCTGAAGCAGGTTCCAGGCTCTGAGCTGTCAGCACAGAGCCTGATGCGGGGCCCAAACCCACGGACTGTGAGATCATGACCTGAGCCAAAGTCGGATGCTTAACTGACTGAGCCACCCAGTCGCCCCAAAATAATACCTGATTTAAAGAGTTGTTTCTCACTGAACTTGTTTAAAAATCTGCTGTACTTCTGTTAACAGCTACTAGTTTAGAATCCACATTTGTTGAAAAAACTTATAGTTTTCTTATCTTTTCAGAGAATGTTATAAATCTTACTGTAGTGTCATTTTTATGTTTTCCACATGAAAACACATTTAATGACATTCAGCTATTAATAAGGTGAAATGTGTTGCTCAGTCCTGACCGTGAGCAGTGTTCTAGCCGTAAGTACTCCTCCCCAAGGGCTGGGCTTTCTGTCGGGCTCAGGTGCAGCGGCATCACTCGTTGGCGTGTTCACCTGATGTGAGGAGAAGGGGCCGGCAGTATAAGACATATCTGCCATCAGGATCAGCAGAATTGCAGTGAAGATGAACTTGGCTTTTGGCCTCAGATCTTTGTTTCTGTCACTGCATTTAGAAAGTGAGCTTAAGATATTTGCTGAATTTGGAATTGTCTTGTCTCCAAAATTGTATACACGTGGAGCCTTTCATAAGTTGAGGAGTGTGCTCTTCAGTCAGTTAATTGAGCTACAGTCACTGCGTTTTTAAAAATCTATATTATCTTTTTTCTTGGTAATTTACAGATATGTATTTCAAAGATTTCTTGTTCTTAACCATCCATCCACAAGGTAGTTCATTGGAAAAAACAGTAATGCAACTTGGCAGAAAATTCCAAAGACAGGCAACTCTAAAGACCCAATTCCATCTGGATTTGAATGAGGGTAATTTATCACCTTTATGGACAGCATTGGCTTTGGTCCATTTCCAACACATAATAAGCCAAATTGGAGTGGGGAGATAAGGAAAACAAGGCAACTAGTTTGCTTAATGATTAATATTTTTAATAAAGATGTTTGAGATAAAAGTCATAAAGAAATTCAGAAATTAAAATTATCTTGGTTAGTGTTTCATGGTGAGAGAAAGAAAACTTAGTATCCATTTCAGCTTGAACCTGAATTTCTTATTGGCTTTTAGATGGCCATTTGGCAGTTTCCTTGACTGAAGTGAAAAGTCTGCATTTTCTGTAGAGAGGGGTTTTTTTAATGTTTATTCATTTTTGAGAGATAGAGCACAAGTGGGGTGGGGCAGAGAGAGAATGAGACACAAAAATGAAGCAGTCTTCAGGCTATCAGCATAGAGCCTGATGTGGGGCTTGAACTCACAAACTATGAGTTAATGACCTGAGCTGATGTAGGAAGTTTAACCTACTAAGCCACCCAGGTTCCCGGGGAGAGTAGATTTCTTAAAGGATTACAAATGGCAGGAAAAAGAAGTAGATCTACATACATAACAGAATTGAGTGCTTGCATAATGACCCCTGCTTCCTGTGCTTTGATGAACTTAACATATCCCATAAGAATCTGATTCTAAAGTAAAATAGCTTGAAAAATTCAAAGCGATAGCTTTTCTAAAGTAAAATAGCTTGAAAAATTCAAAGCGATAGCTTTTCTCCAGAAGCCCTCTTCCACTTTTTTTATGCTTGTTTCAATTTTGTGCTGTTTTGCTGCAGGCAAATGACTCTGATCTTGTGCTTCTGGCCAGCCTCCCCCTCTCTCTCCTTGACTCTGGCTTGTGCTGGTGGATATCCTTTTCCTACTGCAGAGCACGTTTGCCTTCTGGTTGCTTCTAACTCCGTGATAACCCGGCCTGTTTGCTTTCATAGCCTCTTTCCTTTCGAGGGAGAAAGGATTTAAGTTTTGCCTACATTTAACAATGGCTTGGTAAGTGGGGGTTTAGGCAGTTTTGAATTTGCTTTTGATCTTCTGGCTTCTAAGAAGTACTTTTGAATTATTAAATGAGACCAGATTTTTAACATAGAAATTTTATTTATTCAGGAGTTTTAAAAAAAAGTATTTGTCTTGATAACGTTTAATGAGTACAGCATATTTACACTTTTGTAAATTCTCACAGTAGCCTTTGTTGGTTGAATTGTTATTTTAGAAATTGATCTTGCAGCTCATTGGTCTTTTAGGAAGATTGAATAGCAGTTTTAGTAATTTGAGTACTACACTGAAGTTTCTGATTAATGAAGTATTTGGAATTTAAAATAGGCAAAAATCCAAAACTTGCCACTTCTATTCTTTTGCTTAGCTCTGAAATTTTCAGCATGTGGTTCATGAAACAAAGCTTAGTGGTGTGTTCCAGAGGAAGCACTTTCCTTTTGCAAAGAGAGAGTTGCCAAGGAGCTCAGTGGAGAAGCCTCGTTTTACTTCTTCCTACTTGACAGTGCTGAGTGTCACTGTCACCCTGATCCCTGTACTGCTGGGAAACAGCCATGGTTAAGAAAACTCCCACCCTTTCGTGTTCTGGGAAAAGGCTCATGCAGAGGACCTCCTTTCTCCATAGGACTTCCGTGAGACTCCCGGACACCCCCTTGTTACCTATGACAAGGCCAGACCTATGTATTTCCTGACCAGTCTGGACAGAACACCAGCCTGGACCAGATGAAGCTGTCTCCCTCCTCAGGGCCCTGAGCTTTCATCCACCACAGGCCTCCTCAGTGGCCCCTGCTGAGAATCTGGACACCTCAGGGAAAAGTCTTTCCTTGATCAGCTGTCCAGTCATGCCACCCACTTCCCCACACCTGCTGTCCAGTCTTGTTTACCCCTCCCCACAGAGGCAAAGCCCTGTCCAGCCTGACGTGTGGGACTCTTGCAGATCTTAGAGTTGGAACATTCTTCCCATTGCAGTGAGCCTCCTCTGCCTGTTGCAGTAATCTTTTGAATGAAGTCTCTTCCTGACTTAAGTCCAGATTTGTTTTATTTGACATATTTAAGTTTTTAAATTTATAAATGGAATTCATAGATGACCTAATATGGTCATTCAGAGGATGAAACAAGAGTAGACTAGAAATAACAAAATAGGAAAGAAACAGAGACAAAAGCACAAGGACATATCATAATGTGATCTGTAAGAGTATCTGGCCCAAGGGTACCCGTTTAGTGTATATACTGGTCTATCCTGTTCTGAGAGCTTGCCATGAAGGAGAACATCACAGGGCTTCTTGCTTATTGTTTTCCTCAATGTTTATTTAGTTCAGACAGTGGTAAATTGTAAAGCAAATCTGCAGTAAAATCAGTATCACAATCACACAATATTGGCTAAAGTAATATTTTCTGTGTTTTTATTAGCTTTAATTTATAGGAACTATATTCAGTACTAATTTTAGAAATGTAGTAGAGGATTATTTTAGTTTTTATTTTAACTGCTTATTACTGTTTAAAAAGGTTTTCCTTAACTTTTTTCACATATTTATAAGTTTGGCACAAACTATGAAGACTCTAAGGCTAAGAAAGAACACAGTGAAGTTTTCTTTATACAGGCACTTTACAAATACTCTGATCTTTGCCGTTCTGGGTAAGCGATTTAATTTTTCTTATTATAATAAATTATTTCAGTATTGCATGTTCCTTCAAAAGTGACTTTTTTGTGTATTTCAGCTTCTGTAGTGTTTATGGTGTGGACGACTAAGACATTTAGAATTGCAAAATGTCAATCAGTAAGTATAATCTCCCTATTTCAACAGTTTTCATTTTTAATTATACTATTTTGGGTAATTTTGAATACTTTAGTTTGTGTCTGTAAATAGAGGTAACTTAAGTGGAGATTGTCAGTTCAGTTTTAATTATTTTGCTAGAATTATGTGAACTTTTGCTTCCTTTAAATGAATCTGAATAAGTTCCTCCTAATTCCACTTTTCCAATTATGCTCTTTTCTCAACTTCCCTTCATATATACTGTACATATTTTTAAATGTTTATTTTGAGAGAGAGTGAGAGAGAGATCGCTTAAGTATGAGTAGGGGAGGGGCCGACAGGGAGGGAGAGAAAATTGTAAGCAAGCTTCACACTCTCAGCACAGAGCCTGATGCAGGGGGGTCATTCCCACAAACCATGAGATCATGACCTGAGCCAAAATCAAGAGTCAGACATTTAACAGACTGAGCCACTAAGGATGCCCCCCCTTTAAATATTTTGAAAAGTAATTATCTTCCTATATAATTTAAGGTAACAGGAAATCTTTTTTGTCTTGCATAAAATGAAATTGGGTTATTTTGTATCTAAATGGGGCTGTAAACCTGGAGTCTGACTGGTTTCTAGGATGGGATTGTGAACATTCAGGAGGCAACTCTGGGTGAGTTCTCTAAGTAGAAGATCCGTTTTAGACTTAAAATTTTAAAGGCCCTCTTGGGAGCTTCTTGATTTAGAGCTAGTCACGATGTTCTAAATAAACAGTTAACAAACAGCCCTCTGAACATCCTGGACTTGTGCCTCAGGGATTATTTAGTGAGAGAAGAAACTGAACCTTCTTCAATTTCTTTTTTCTCCTCCCCTTACCTTAGTGTTTTCACTTGTGAGTTCTAAGTTCATCTTTGAGATTCTTATTTTTGTTTTCTAAATCTTTCTGTTGACCCTAAAATTTTATGGAAAGGAATGTTTGTGATGTTGGACAGCCCTTTGGAAACATTTCAAACAATATATAATAAAATCTTATGTGTTACTAAAAGCGAAATAACCTGTTGGGAAAAACATTACATTGAAATCTTAGCATCAGAAATTTTAATGTCATCAGTGTCAAAAGTACCCATTTTTTTTACATTTTTTTAACGTTTTATTTATTTCTGAGAGAGAGAGACAGCATGAGCAGGGGAGGGTCAGAGAGAGAGGGAGACACAGAATCTGAAACAGGCTCCAGGCTCTGAGCTGGCAGTCAGCACAGAGCCCGTTGTGGGGCTCGAACCCACAAACCTTGAGATCATGACCTGAGCCAAAGTTGGACGCTCAACCAACTGAGCCACCCAGGTGCCCCAAAGGTACCCATTTTCAACCTGCTTCTGATTCTCCTGTGAACCTGCCTCATGACTATTCTCGTCTAGAAAATAGATGAAATGATCCCTGAAGCCCGTTTAAACTCTAATTCAAGATATAGCATTTCTTAGTTTTTATTTTCTTAAAAAAATACGTACTTATTTGGTACCAGACTCACTGGTCAGAAAGACTTCATTAGTGTTTGTCATTGTACACTATTTGAATGGGAAACCTATTTTTGTTTATCAGAAGATTAACATTTCACGTTTGAGTTGTCCTTGTTACAGGACTGGATGGAACGCTGGGTTGATGATGCATTCTGGAGCTTCCTTTTTTCGCTTATCCTTATTGTGATAATGTTTTTGTGGAGACCATCTGCAAACAACCAGAGGTACCTAATATAGGAAAATTCAAGTTTGGCAGCATTTGTTGATAACTGCTACTGTGTTCAACTAGAAACGCATTTATAGAAACTGGAGAGGTAGCCTTGCCTTCTCCTTAAAGGAGAATACAGTTAAGTAAGGAGATAGATGTTATGCAAGAAAGCGAAATAAGAGATGTATAAACTAGAAAGACCGAAGGTGGGTGAGGAAGACTCCATGAAAAAGCAGCACTTATGTTATACCTTAAGGAAAGGAACAGAACAGTGAAAGACTGAGCAGGGAAAGAATGTACATTTTCTGAGGTAGTGGGGACAAACATGGTAAGTACTTTGGAGGTCATTGAGGCATGTGTTTTGGTGAATACTGTGTACACTGGAGGGGAATAAAGCTGGAAAGGAAGGATGGGACCAAAATCATAAGGAGCTTAATTGGTGAGTTCAGGTTGTACCGTTGACCACATGTGATGGGAGGCCCCACCTTCCCTTGCCTCTCTCTTCTTCCCCAAGGAAAGTACTGTGAGGTTTCGTGTATGCCCTTCCAGGGAAAAATGAAAAAGTACATACCCCTGTGTGTGTTTCTTCTTCTCTTTTTATTTTTTATTTTTATTATTTAAAAAAATTTTTTAATGTTTTATTTATTTCTGAGAGAGAGAGAGAGAGACAGCGTGAGCAGGGGAGGTTTAGAGAGAGAAGGAGATACAGAATCTGAAACAGGCTCCAGGCTCTGAGCTGTCACCACAGAGCCCGACGCAGGGCTCGAACCCATGAACCGTGAGATCATGACCTTAGCTGAAGTCGGACACTTAACTGACTGAGCCACCCAGGCACCCCTCTTCCTCTCTTTTTAAAAGCGTACAATAATAATTATACGTATGATCTTATATACATGTATACATTGTTCTGCACCTTCTTGTTTGAGATCTATCTTTCCATACCATCCTGTATAGATCTACCACATTTTTTAAAAGTAGGCTCCATGCCCAATGTGGAGCTTGAACTCACAATCCTGAGATTGAAAGTCACATGCTCTACTGACTGAGCCAGCCAGTCACCCCAAGATCTACCACATTATTTTTAATGGCTCTATAGCATTCCATAATATGAATGTAGCATAATTTATAGAAGCAGTCCCTAATTATTAGGCTCTTTGTTTCTAAGATTGTTGTTACTATCAGCAGTGCTTTTTGAGTGCTGTTGGACCTAGTAAATGTGGCTCAGTCAGTATGCTTTATTTTCACCAGTCAGATTAGCAGTTTATCTTTTGTTAGGGGAGGAGTTAACAAGTAGTGGGCAAGGAAGGTAAACCTGACGTGGAGAAAAATGTACAGAAAATCCCCTTCCCCAAACATTGTAGATTGCAGAACTGCTTTCCAGAAAGATCTTATCCAGTTATGCTTTTATCAGCATGGTTTGGGAGCTCCAGTCCTGTGTCATTGGTAGTAATCTTTCCTAATTTGAGAGTAAAATATTAAATTTTTGTTTTTTTGAATTTATGAGAAATGTTAAAAATGTAAATATTTTTGTATACTATGACACTGTTCGCTATAAACTGAAAACTGAACAGGTTTAAATGCACTAGTAACACTATTCCTTCTTGTTTTGGGTGTAGATATGCCTTCATGCCATTAATAGATGATTCTGATGACGAAATTGAAGAATTCATGGTGACATCTGAAAACTTAAGTGAGTGGTACCTCTTATTAAATGACCAGTGTATGGTACCTCTACCTGTGATGCAAAGTCACATACACTGTTTTCCTATTGAAATAATTTTAAAACTGTATCTGCAAAAACCTCTATTATGGCAGATAATCACAAAAGAAGAGTCAGTAATGAAATTTTCTTTTTCTTCTTTAAATGTTTTTAATGTTTATTTTTGAGAGAGAGAGCATGAGTGGGGGAGAGGCAGAGAGAGAGAGAGAGAAACAGAATCTGAAGCAGGCTCCAGGCTCTGAGCTGTCAGCACAGAGCCCAACACGGGGCTCAAACCCACAAACCGCAAGATAACGACCTGAGCTGAAGTCAGACACTTAACTAACTGAGCCACCCAGGCACCTCAGTAATGACATTTTCAAGATTGTTAATGTAGTGTGAGCTTTTGTCACTTGTTTGCTCTTAAATTCTAAGTATTAAGGTAAACTTTTTCACACTAATAATTTAGTTTATATTGTGCTTAGCTCCTAATAATCTTCTTAATGATAATTGCTAAATTTCCTTGAATCACCTCTTTTTGCTCTTCAGAATTATACAGATCTGTAATTTCCTGATCATGTCCAAAGCATTTCTAATTATAGTTTTAGTGCTACTTTTATCTTTCAATTAATTTCTCCATAGCATCTTATCGTTTTATTAATTTCACCATAATACTTTAATTAAGCATTTGTTGAGGCAACATCAACACATAATTCAGTTGCTGAGAATGAGTATAGAGATGTAACATATTTATGAATTATGACTCTCAATATTATCAAGCAGTCAGTCCCACAGGTTGATCAATAGAATCCGTGCAATCCCAATCATAATTCTAACAGACCTAAAAAAAAAAATCTAAATTGTTAAGATGATTTTAAAATGTATATGGAAAAGCACAGGACCTAGAAGAACCAAAACATTCTTGTAGTTAAACATGGACAGATCTTGAAAACATTATGCTAATTCAAAGAATCCAGTCATAAACATCACAAATTGTATAATTCCATTTATATGAAAAGTCCACAAGGACTCTCCGTAGAGACAGGAAATATATTGGGGATTGCCAAGGGTTGATGGAAGGCATCAGTAGGGAGTGACTACTGATGGGTATGGGATTTCTTTTTAGGGTGATGAAAATCTTGTGAAATTAGTAGTGATGCTGGTACAGTTCCGTGACTACTGAAATTCAGTGAGTTGTTGTACACTTCAAAGTGGTGCATTTTATAGTGTGGGAATTAGATCTCGATAAAATAAAATTAATGGATTTACACTAATTTCAAGGCATAGAAATTTCATGGGATGCCCAAGTGGCTTGGTTGGTTAAACCCAACTCTTGATCTCACCTCAGGTCATAATCTGAGGTCATGTGTTGGAGCCCCGCATTGGGCTCGCTGTCGTCAGTGCGGGGCCCACTTTGGATCCTCTGTCTCCCTCTCTCTCTGCCCATCCCCTGCAAACACACATGTGCTCTCTCTCTCTCTCTCTCAAAATAAACATTAAAAAAATTATTTCTTTAAAAAGTTAAACATATACCTGTTGTACAACCCAGCCATTCCACGCCAAGGTATTTACCCAGAAAAAAATGATAGAAATGAAAGCAGATGTTCACAGAAAGACACTAATGTGTACATTATTATTTTCAGCAGCTTTATTTTTTTAAGTTTTTTTTTTTTTTGTGAGAGAGAGTGTGTGAATAGGGGAGGGGGGAGAGAGCGAGCGAGCGAGAGAGAGAGAGAATGAGTATATCCCAAGTAGGCTCCGTGCTGTCAGTCCAGAGCCTGACATCAGGCTCAAACTCACAAACCATGAGATCATGACTTGAGCCAAAACCAAGAGTCAGATACTTAACTGACTGAGCCACCCAAGTGTTCCAGCAACTTTATTTTTAATAGTTTAAAACTGGATGTAACCCAAAGTCCATCAACAGATGAACAAAGTTTTTGTGGTACACTAACAGGCTAACACTCCACAACAAATAAATCTCAAAACCTTTATGTTGAGTGAAAGTAATCAAATTCAAAAGATGATAGAGTCCATGGATTATGGTTCATATATGAACCATATATGTTCACTCCCAACAATCAATCCAACCATTGATGGGAGTAGGATTGACCAGAAAGGAATTTAAAGAACCATCTGGGATGATAGAAATGTTAAGTGTCTCAATTTAGAGTATACACTTAAAATTTGTGTATTATATAGGGGGTGCCTGGGTGGCTCAGTCGGTTAAGCATCTGACTTTGGTTCAGGTCATGATCTCGCAGTCTGTGAATTTGAGCTCTATGTCAGGCTCTGTGCTGCAGCTCGGAGCCTGGAGCCTACTTTGGATTCTGTGTCTCCTCTCTCTGCTCCTTTCCCGCTCACACACTCTCTCTCAAAAATAAACGAACACTAAATTTGTGTATTATATGTATTGTACCTCAGTTTTAAAAGTCAGTGTTTGCCCTTTAGAAGAATAGATCTCAACTGTTGGGATTTTAAATGCCCCATGGAAACATTTTTTGATCAAAGAACCTCATTTTCATTCATTTTGTCAACTTATGATCATAATATATCAGTTGTTCTTGTTAATGGAGAAGCACTATTTGCAAATTATTGCAATAACAAAAGTGAATACTTATGGGACAGATTAAGTGTCAGGCTCTGTCTCTCTGTCTCTCAAACACAAATATTAAAAGAAATAAATATATATGTAAATATATAAATAATATATAAATCTACATAGATATAAATATGTAGATATAAATCTTTGTTGAATTATTAAATGTGAAGGAAAATAATATTTTATAATTTTAGATATTTATCTCTAAAATGTTTCTCATTGTAGCTGAAGGAATAAAATTAAGAGTCTCAAAAACAGTTTCCAATGGAACAGCTAAACCTGCTACTTCTGATAACTTCGTGAGTATAGTATACATTTAAGAGAGTCTATGTCACATTCATTGACTGTCAGGAAAACATTTTCTACCTTAGTATGGAAGTTTTTTGTATGAAAATCAATTTTACCAAGTAGCAATACTAGTTAAGTCTGACAGTTGTAACTACTGTAGATCCTTGCTTCTCAAGTGCTATTCTTGGACCAGAAGCATGAGCATCACCTGGAACTTGCTAGAAATGCAGTGTCAGTCCCACCTCAGACCTACTGAATCTGAATCTGCTTTTAATAGGTTCCCTTCTTTCAATAGGATCTTTTAATAGGATCTTTTAATAGGATCCCTTTTAACTATTCCTACGCACATTAAAGATTGAGAAGCTTTGTTATAGTAGAAGCTTGTTAATTTTTCAGCATTTTAAAGTGATTTTGGAAGCCATTTCAGATAACATTTGTTATTTATTAGGAAAGGACTTTATGTGTTGCCTATGCAGTTGACAAAATTAGCATTTTTTATAAAGCTGGAAGCTTGAATAAAATGGTAAAATAGAGGATAGAGATGAGTTTTTAAATATTTTATGCATATTAATTGAGCAAAGTGGCAATGCCTCTCATAGTTTTATATTCTGCTTTCTTATAATTGTATACGTTGTAATTAATAGAATATAAAAATGTATGTGTGCTTGTAAGTTCTGACAGGACAGATGACATATGAGAACAGTTTAATCTGTTTAGTAAATTTTTTCATTTTTATTTTTGTTAATTCTGTAAAATGTGTTTTTTGAGTAGGTTTATGGTGATTTAGACTTTAAAAAATTACAGCAGTTTTTAAAAAAATTTTTTAATGTTTTATTTATTTCTGAGAGAGAGAGAGGGAGAGAGAGCGTGAGCAGGGGAAGGTCAGAGAGAAAGGGAGACACAGAATCTGAAACAGGCTCCAGGCTCTGAGCTGGCTGTCAGCACAGAGCCTGACACGGGGCTTGAACCCAGGAACCGTGAGATCATGACCTGACCCGAAGTCGGGCGCTTAACCGACTGAGCCACCCAGGCGCCCCAAAGAGAGAGAGAATCTTAAGCAGGTGAAATGCTCAGTGGGGATCCCAACTCGGGGCTCGATGCCACGACCCTTCAATCATGAGATAACTAAAAGCAAGTTTCTGCTAAAAATCCGATACCCCAACTGACCTGCTTTCCTTCTCTTGTCTCCTGCAGAGAGATGAGCATAAATACAAGCGATAGAAATAAATAGGCTTTTGTAAAATTAGAGTATTTATACGGTCATCTTTTTCTATTGAAAAATTATAAGCTCATGATATAAAAACTTGAACAAATTAGGAGGTATAATGAATGCTGGGAGCAAAAAGCCAATACAAATCAATATTCTTGCTATTTTCTGTCTTACACATCAACTCTGTGTTTCTACTCTGTTTTTTCAGGGTAAAAAAAAAACAACACCTGCGCATCTAATGAAAAGAAAACCAAGAAGTACAAAATTCTGAAATCCAAATTTTTGTTTATTTGCCTGTTTAAGAACATACTGGCATAATTTCTGTGGGGCATAAGTGCCAAATTCTTAGGATATATAGAAATGAAGAGAATCATGTGTTTGAAATAAATGCTTACGTTTTATATACATTATATTTTAAAATTCTACTTTCAGGTGATACTAAGCAAATGCTAATATATAAATATTTATTTCTACAGGATGAAGATTTGAAGTGGGTGGAAGAAAATATTCCCTCATCATTCACAGATGTGTAAATATTTTTTGTTAAAGTTTGAGTCTAAAATGTAGGATATCGTATAAAGAGATCACTTTCATACCTCATCATGTGCTTTTCGAACCTCGTACCCCCTGTGTTTTGATAGGTCCCCAACATCAGCGAATGACTAGTGTCATGTCAGACTGCAGGGAAAACAGAGCCCTGCCTTGGTCTTTCCTTTTCCTTCAGTTCTCACTATACAACAACCACTTGAATGCTTGTGGCCTATGACCAACTCCAGCCTCTTCTGATCTAAGTTTTTCAGGATTAGAATCACTAATTTTGTTTCAACTTTCTATTATAAAAAGTTCCAACATATGTAAAACATTTTTTTTAAAGCACATCGAAGCTCCATACTGTGTATGGGGGGAAGAGTTTGGAGGAAAAGCATGAGTGTGGGCAAAGTAGAGTATAGACCAAGCCCTTCGGGAACTTTGAGCTAACCAGGATCAGTGTTCCTGTTTGACGCAAGAATTCCACGTAGCCATTTCCATAGGGGAACCCAGCAGGATAGGCAGAGAGGATGACATCTTCATATACTGTTCTTTCCTTTCCTTGCTCCCGTTTACTTCCTTTGTAGACAGTTCCTGTCTAGTATGAAATTCTGTTTGCGTGTCATAGGACAATTTGAACAGATTATGGCTTTTCCTTATCTCTGGTCAGCCATAAAGGACAGCTTAGCAGAGTTCACCTCCCTCTTCAATGCACTGAATACATCTTACCAAGTTTTAAATAATCATTAACCTCACAGAGGAAGCATTTTTGAGATTGCTAGTGTTTACCTCCAACAGTGCTGAGCACCCAACAGTTGTCTTCTGGGTCCCTCAGGTTCTGGTGCATATTTCCCCAAAAGCAGTCTTTTCTCCTCAATTTTCCTTCATAGTCGTATTCCAGACAATCTGACCTGGCCCCTTTCTCCCACCTAGTTAGTCTCTCGCTTCTTTCTTATGCCTTCACCGTAGACTGCTCTCATTGTGTGAAGATACGCATAGCACAGTTTACCCATTTGGCTATTTTCAGTTTGGGGGAGATTAAGAACACTATGAAAATTCCTGTGTGTGTGTGTTAGTGACCCTAGGTGTTCACTTCTGTCAGCTGTGTCCATCCAGGAATGAGAATTCGTAGGTCACAGAATATGCCCGTATTCAGCCTTCATATTCACTAGCCTTTTAATAACATCGTCACCCGTTTGTTTTGTTTCAGAGCTCTTCCAGTGTTAGTGGATTCAGATGAGGTAAAATATATTTTTTGCTTATTTTCTTGGTGCTGTTATTTTCACAAAGTAGAAATATATTTCAGAAAGAAATTCTGAAAGTTACTCTGTAGAACGATTGCAAATGGAGCAGCCTGGAAGACTGCACTGATTTGTCAATGAAACTCAAAGGAGCTCAATCCTCATTGAAAATAGGAGTAAGATAAATGCTTGTTGGTATAAAGGAAGAGAGAATTATTTCATAAGATTTTGAGTCTGTGATTTGCTAACATCTATGTTGGTAAGAGTTTAGAATACTGTAACGTAGCAGTTTGTCTAAATCTCTTCTACTTGAGATATTTTGCTAAGGTATTAAATAGAGTTTCTATCTCATTTTGATTTGCTCAGCAGGAAATTTGAACAGAGGATGTGGATTTGGGAAGGTTTAGAGGAGAAAAATGAGTTATGGATCGTCCGGACATTGAAGGGTGGCCACGACAGGAAGAAGTCTGAGTTGTGGGAATTAGAGGATGGGTGCTGGGAACTCTAGCTTCGGGCAGGAGCAGCAGAGGGAAGTTGGTGGTAACTGAGCCATAATTTAGGTGGTGGCTCTAGGAGAGCAGCTGCCGCTCTGTTCACTGAAGGGAAGTGACTTTGGCCACAGCATGTTGATCCGACGGTAGTGGGAAGTTTTGAGGAGGCTGCCTTAGATACACACCTGGCTACAAAGCAATTGAACGTCAGGATTTAGAACTCTACAGAAAGATACATGATGGAGAATTACTTTTTAAAGGGCACTTAGAGTACTCATTTGATAAATAGTTGTACAATTTCAAAATATGTGACTTGTGTAAAGTGAGGCAAATCTGTGGATGACTGTGCCTGAGAAATCCACATGAGCCCCATCTCTGCCTCTCATGGTAACTCTGAACTTGAAATGTTTTCCAGCTAGCAGGATGTTAAAGTTTTCTGACCTTGTCAACAGGTATTGACCAGACATCACCAGAAGTAGATTATCCAGTGTTTATTTTCTGAATCTACTATTTCTTTGTATATCATGAAATATATGTAGCTCCCCACAAAATTGTGACTGTGAAAGATTAGAGAATTTTGTTATGTTCTGGTTGGAGCATCAACATTTGGAAGTATATCATCTTTTTTTTTTTTTTTTTTTTTTAAAGGAAATCATGACCAGATCTGAAATGGCAGAAAAAATGTTCTCTTCAGAAAAGATAATGTGATTGAAACCCATATAAATGAAACTCAGTTAACGGTAAAAGACTTCCTCAAGACTGAAAGAGAGCTTTGTTTTGATCTAGTGCAACAAGTTTTTATTGTATTATCTTGGAAATCTATATATTAAAATTAAGAATTCAGGTGGTAGGATGGTTCTGCACCCCTTTTAAGCTACTCTTAAACATCAGCTTAATGTCCATCAAATTGCCTGGATTCGGAAATAATCTAAGAGAAGTATTATGATAAAGAAATATGCCTGAATGCTCTTAGCTGAGAGGAGGCAGGGATGTGGATTTGGGCTTTCTCTTTTCTCTGGAAAATATGACAGTTCCAGATTTAAAAATATTTTTTACGTAAACACTTCCACCATTCTTCCAGTCACTAACCTTTGGGGTAGATTATGTGATTCTTCTGACGTGTGGTAAAGCAGCGACTCCATCTCTTAGGGTTTTAGTTATTAGATGCAATAATAATATTCTTTGACTTTTATACCGAAATGATTTGATATTAAGTAAAACTTGATTAGCCTTAGAACATAAGCATGTTTATATGGTTAGTTTTGGGGTGTGTGTGTGTGTGTGTGTGTATGTGTACATATGGTCTGCACAAGGTCCTTGTTTGTAAATATATCACCGTGCACATCAAATCACAGAGTTAGGTCCTCTCTGAGCTCAGGAGAACACAAGTACGCAGGAATAAGGTCTTGAGGGTCACTTCCAAGGGTTTGCCCTGCCACTGTCCCCTCATTCAGGCCGCGTGTTCACGAACTGCTGCTGAATCTGTGTGGGGCAGGGGGTGGACACATGGCCACATGAGGAGTCCTTCCTCTCTGCACACTGGCAGATTCATCAGCAGTGACCCTTACAGACAGTAGAACATCCTTTACATAATCTTGGTTTATTTGATTTTGTAATGAAACATATATTTGCCTGTACAGTACATCATTGTTAATCATGTAATTAATTTCTAGACCTTCAACCATGTTTTATACATCATTTTGTTACATATTATATATGTAATGTATGATTTGAAATTGTTTTGTTTTAATATTTTTTTAAATGCAGAACATTCTAAACTTGAAAGGTAGTTGAATGTAGTATGATGGAAATGTGAACGTTTTGCTGCTTTCGTGACCAAAGATACGGGGCTCGTGGACATATAGGATAGGAATTAAAGTTAGAATTTTGCGTATCTTTCTTTGATGGAGTTCTAACCTTGTGAATTGAGAATGGCTTCAGAGAACTTTGAGAAGCACTTAAAGTTTAACCAGTACAAAGACTCAACTATAGCCTTTTTTTTTTTTCATTATAAAGCCACAAAATTTTTTTTTCTTTCAAAAGCCTACTTTTTCAATTTACTTCTCATTTACTCATTTCATGGGGATTAGTAGGAAAGGTCTCTAGTAGTAATATCTACTGAAAGATACTTTCAGATTTATTTTCGATAGGCAACAGTGAATGGTTTGGGACATGCTTCCTTGAAAAAGAGTGTCCAACAGTGTGGGGCCTTTTCCTTTTCTTCTGTTTCTGACACGAATATGGGTCCCTACCTACTGCATTTCCCAGCGTTGTGTCCATTCTGGTTTTGCTGTTTTACCCCGGGCCCAGTTGCTGCAGGGCTGGAGGCCACCCTGCCTTCTCGGTCCCAACGTGTTTATCTAATACCACCCCCAGATTTAGAGGCAGACCCCCAGCTCATCATACGGCTCCAGTTGAGTTTTGAAATGCAGGGTCCTGGGCTTCCAGCCAGCAGGAACTGCAAGTGCAGTGGAGCAGGAGTGGGGCATCCAATGGTGTGATAATAAGGGGGACAGCCTCTGGCATAACCTCAGTAAGTGGGTATGAAAGCACCGCTTCCTGCACCTGGAAAGATAAAGGATGCGAAGTGTATAGCTCAGCTACAGGCTCAAATGCAAACTTCCCTCATCTTCTAGAGAGAACAGGAATCCCTCCTGACAACCTTATCAGAAGTGTTTTTCAAAGGGCATGTATTCTTGTCACTTGCAGTGACAGTTGTGTAGTCCGTTGCTGTTTAATGACCTGGATTGAGTATTCCTATGGAGGGCCCTCTTACCCCCTCCTATAATCAGAAGGGGGTGCCCTGGGATTAGAGCTGTAGTTCTTATGAAGGACACTGGGGAGAAGTTACAGCCAGGTCATCGTACAGCTCATCATCCCCGCTTCAGTGTGAAGTGGTCAGTATCTGGTCATCAAAGTTTTTGAGGCTATCAGACCAGTTTATTCTTGGAGGCCAATAAGATGAAAGGATCTGAGGATGAGTCCCGTTTTATGTGTTTCCAGACAAAGTGCTTACATGTTCTTATGCAAGTCATGTTAGATTTATATGCTGTGCGAAATTCGCTTCAAAGGGAATTTTCATGATTTAAGTTAGATTAGGATTTAATTATCTGTTTTAAAGGATAGTTCATTTATTTCAAAATAAAGAAAAGTAATGAATATATCCATTTTTTAAGCCTGAGAGATGATGTTTCCTTACTTTTTCTGTAAAGAAAATACTTTTTAAATCTTTCATATCCTGTAGAGAAAACCAACTTTTCCTCTGTGATACATTATGTTTGCACTACTATAATGTCAGGACTGAGAGTATAAAAAATGTACATGTAAGATTGATTTTTTTATATCTTTTTTTAAAGGGAGTTTGAGGTGCCCAACTGGCTTAGTCAGTAAAACATGCGACTCTTGATCTTGGGGTCATGAGTTCGAGTCCCATGTTGGGGGCACAGTTCCTTTTAAAAATAAATTAAAGGGTTTTGAGTCTATTGCACTAAACTTTACAAGCTATACATGACTAATTTAAAGTGGACAGATGTTGTGCTAGATTTAATAATCATTCGTTTTTTTGGTACTTGTATCTTTGTATGATCAACAGCATGCACTAAGCAATACAGAACACCAGGCCTTATACTTGTAAGAAAGAAGTTTAACATACTGGGTAAAGTTCTGATCATATCAGATGTATATAAGTGACAAAAGTAGGATTTTAAGGAAATGGACAGTATATACAGAAGCTCAGTACTGTGTTAAGAAACTAGGAAAACAGTGTACTTGAGGAGAAAATTTAGGGGTTTGAAAAGTTATATTTTTCTATTTAAAACAGTTAAATTATTGTATAATTTGGAAGAAGTTGCTTTGAATGTAGGACAAAACTGTTTCAAAGATTTTTGTTTAAAAAACTTGTATTTTTGTGCCTTAATATTTGTTCTGACTTTTAATAAAATGCTTTCTGAAAGTCTGAATGATTGATTCTAATATCTATTACTGCTAGATTATATCTATGTCTTCAGGAAATATAGACCCAAACAGATGGCAGGGCATAAACAAAGTCTTAAAAAAAGGAGATACAACTGATTATGAAACATGGAAAAATGTTCAACCTCAGGAGTGATCAGAGAAATGAAAAATAGGGTGAATTTTTTAAATTAACGAGTCTATACTAATATATTTATAAAACCTGTTTCAGCTTTCGAAGTCTGATGAACACATTCATTAATGGCAGTAATGTCATTGATTCAGTCTTTGGAAAAAAGTTAAATGTGTGTATAACCTTTCAGTGCTGCCAATTCTGGTGATATTTTTAAAAATTCAAATTACAGGAGAACCTAGTGGCTCAGTCAGTTGAGTGTCCGACTTTGGCTCAGGTTGTGATCTCACAGTTCGTGAGTTCAAGCCTCACATCGGGCTCTGTGCTGACAGCTCAGAGCCTGGAGCCTGCTTCGGCTTCTGTGTCTTCCTCTCTCTCTCTGCCCCTCCCCCACTCACATTCTGTCTCAGAAATGAATAAACATTAAAAAATATTTTTAATAAAAATAATAAAATTTTAAATTATAGAATAAGGCTTCTGCACAAAAATGCTGGTTATAGCATTTTTTTTTTATTCACCATTTCAGAAGGTTAAGACAAAAAGACATTTATTTCTTGGTCATGCATCCTGGGCCTAGAGGTGGGCAGGGCAGGCTTCCTCCACACATCCCCTCAGGGACCCAACGTTTACTTGTGTCTCCTGAGTCCTCCAGTTGCTAGGGCCTGTCATCTGCATGCAGCCAGCTGGAGAAAGGACAGCCTGGGAAGTTTGGGGGGGGCGAAACCCAGAGGTGCTGCTCATCACTTTGGCACACTCACATGGCCACACAAACTGCCAGGCGTCTGAGAACTACCAGCCACATGCCTGCTTTGGTGACTTTGGGTGGATGGCCAATGGCCTCTGCCACAGATTACATGGGAGCAGTGGAGAGGGGAGACAAAAACTGCCTTTCTATTTTCTTTTTTTTTTTTTTAATGTTTTATTTATTTTTGAAAGAGAGAGACAACGTGAGCAGAGGAGGGTCAGAGAGAGAGGGAGTCACAGAATCCAAAGACAGGCTCCAGGCTCTGAGCTAGCTGTCAGCACAGAGCCCGACGTGGGACTCGAACCCACAAACCTGAGATCATGACCTGAGCCGAAGTCGGACGCTTAACCGACTGAGCCACCCAGGCGCCCCTGCCTTTCTATTTTCTAATGTAAACAGACGGAGAAATAAATATGTGAACATCAATGGTCCACAAGTAGGTTTTATGATATCAGAAAATCTAGACGCGAGCATGGTCTCAGACCACAGCTTCATCCATTAATGACTAGAACCCATCCTGCCCCAAGTAAATGTAATGTGGAGAATATTCTTGGAAATTCTCCCAGCCTTGGGGGTGACCAGGATGGGTATGCCCCCGAGGAAAAGCAGGCCTGTTGTAATAACAGTGCTGACAGTTTAGGGAGGGCTGGGAGGGCTCATGTAATGGCGGGTTCTGTTAACCACTGTGGTCTCGGTAGCCACGAGGTAGGTCTAGCAGTGAGTTTATAGAGGGGAAAACAGACTCAGTGTGGCCAAATAACTTGCCAAAGTCACCCTGTTGGCAAACAGAAGGTTAGTGTAACACTGGCGAGAAGCACCCTTGAAAGGTTTCTGCAAATCCCTGGGCAGAGAGGGGGTACATGTTTGCTTGTTAGGGAGTTAAAGTCCTGAATCTAGAGTGCTGGTGCTCAGGCCTTTATAATACAGCGAAGTTACACAGAATGCATCAGCGATGGTCATAGGTGCTACTGACACCCAGCTGAAATAAACTCCCCCACGTGAAACTGAAATCCTAAGATGTATTTGCGTGCATTCAATTTCCCAGAGCAAGTTATGCCCCTTAAGTGATAGTGGATTTGCAGCTAAATTCCCCATAACGTAAGCTCGTATGGTACCAAATTCAGACAATTTTGACAGTACTTCCTTTAAGTCTTTGTGGAAAGGTAGTAAGAAACTGCAATGGAAGTCTAGGTACAGAGAAACTTTTAAAAGCCATCCAGCAGATGGTGCCAAAGAATCTCTGAAGAGTTCTGGCCTGTAATTCTTGCCTTTAAAATTTTCTTTAATTAACTTACCAAATATCGTTGAACCAATTTAGAGATGAAATAAAGAAACTTTTAAAAAATTCAGTAAGGGCTCTATTATACTAGGTTTCTCTTCCATAGATTATGCCTTTCAGAAATGCTGTGGTAGGTTTTCTGTTTCTTACCTGTGATGTGTTTTCCCCAGCACCTCTGGACACTCACCTTAGGACCTTGATAAAGTTATTCACTTTTTATGTGTTCAATCTGGGGGGGCCTGGGTGGCTCAGTTGGTTAAGCGTATGGGTTTGGCTCAGGTCATGATCTCACGGTTTGTAGGTTTGATCCCCACATCAGGCTCTGTGCTGACATTTTGGGGCCTGGATGGAGCCTGCTTCAGATTCTGTGCCTCCCTCTCTCTCTCTGCCCCTCCCCCACTCATGCTCTGTCTCTGTCTCTCTCAAAAATAAACATTAAAAAGTTTTTTTTAAATGTGTGCAGTCTGTCTGATTACCCCAAGGAGCATGATTGAGCTGCTATTTCAAACCCCTATGGGGCGCCTGGGTGGCTCAGTCAGTTGAACGTCCGACTTCAGCTCAGGTCATGATCCCATGGTTTGTAGGTTTGTGTCCCACATCGGGCTCTATGCTGACAGCTCAGAGCCGGGAGCCTGCTTTGGATTCTGTGTCTCCCTCTCTCTCTGCCCTCCCCCTGTTGACACTGTGTCTCTGTCTCTCAAAAATAGACATTTAAAAACATTGTTTAAACCCCTGTGATCTGTAAAAACAAAACAAAACAAAAACCCACCACTTAGCTACTAATGAAGCTCTTCTTCCTTAAAAAAAGAAAAAAATCTACAAAGAGCACCACCATCCTGGGAAAACAGTTATCATTTTGGAATATTTGCAGCTCTCTCAGAATTAGAACTTGGGGGGTGCCCGGGTGGCTCAGTCGGTTAAGAGTCCAATTCTGGATTTTGACTCAGGTCGTGATCTCATGGTTCGTGAGTTTGAGGCCCATGTCAGGCTCTGTGCTGTTAGCACAGAGCCTGCCTGGGATTCTCTTTCTCCCTCTCTCTCTGACCCTCCCCTGCTTGCTCACTCTGGTGTGCTCTCTCTCTCAAAATAAATAAATAAACTTTAAAAAAAATTAGAACTTGGCAGCTGGAAGGGGACTCTGAGATCATTTTATGGGTGAGAAAATGGGGAAGCAGGAAACCTGCATTGACTCCAGACCCCCCAGGCAGAACTGAAGCCTGTATCCTCATTTGCTCTTCTCACTTCTAGATCCTTGGAGTCAGAAGGAGGTTAGTGCCCTGGGAGGGTTGAACTGCATATCAAAACTTGAAATACACTTTCTGTGTTTTGGTGACCCCTTGCCACATCATTTTATATGACTGTTGTCTTTCATTCCAGCCTTCAAATTCTGTCTCTACAATAAATAGTTGTAATTTTGATTCTCTGCTTCTTAATTTGGGGCATAATGGAGTCCAGAGAATTAGTGACAGTATCTATTCTAGTCTCAGCACTACTAAAAATAAAAGATTCCATACACTTTATCTTTCCCTTTTTTAAAAAAAGAATGCTTGACCATTGGTGTATCTGCCTCCAAAGGATTATTATTAGACATTTCTTTTTTAAAATTTTTTTACATTTATTTTTGAGAGACCAAGAGAGACAGAGTGTGGGTGGGGAGGGGCAGAGAGAGAAGGAGACACAGAATTGAAAGCAGGCTCCAAGCTCTGAGCAAGCTGTCAGCACAGAGCCCGATGCAGGGCTCGAACCCACGAACTGTGAGATCATGTCCTGAGCTGAAGTCGGACACTAACCGACTGAGCTACCCAGGCGCCCCTAGACATTTCTATTAAGGGAATGAACAAGCTAGCCTTTTCACTATGAAATTGCTTTTAAATAATGAATTGTATTATAATTCATATAATTGTACTTGTAGATTTCAAGTTCTGATCATGGAGAAGTACCTTCTATTGGGCCAAACTTCCCCACAAATAACAACTCTAGACAAAATTTAAGTAAGAACTACTTGAAGACATTGGAGACAGGCAGAAAGCAGGGAGATGTAGGAAGAGACTCAACACTTGGATGA